GTTGTATGTATTTTGTATATTACGTACTATACAGGGTGTCTCTGAAATAAAGGTATTAAGAAGTATTTTAAGGGCGGGTAGGTCTGGACAAAAGAAACATAATTTTCTAGTTACAATTTTTAAAATAAATTGCAAATAAAAGAGTTAACTTTGAAAATTTTAAAAAATAATGCTTAAATTTTGGGAACCACAGGTGTTTATTTGATGTCCTGTGTTGCCACATAGACAAGAAAGTATACACTTCATTGAAAGTGTTTCATAATATGTGATAAGAGAATCTGTAATAATTGTTAAGAATTATTTTTTTAGTTAAGGTGAAAATATCTCTAATAATGTTCATGTTGAAAAAAACGACGTCAGCGATGGCTACGAAATGAAGGTCGCTGTCATTTTATATATAAATTTATATGAGAAATGTCATCGATGTTCATTTTCAAGCCAACTGGACGCCTTTTTTTGTGATCATGCGGTGTGTGTGTTGAAAAATAAGTACAGTGTACATGATTAATTTTCGTAATTTATTGTGTAGAAAATTAAAATTACTGTGAACTTATACAGGGTGTCCCAGAAATAAGTGCAAGTATTTTAAGGGGTGGTATACCTCGATAAAAGAAACGTATTTTCTCTTTATCGTTTTTCAAATAAGTCCAAAATAACGGAGTCATTTTACTTTGAAAATTTCCAAAAAAAATATTTTTTTGCTAAAATTTTGAGAACCACTGGATCTTTTCTGGATTTTTTTTCTTGTAAATTTAATCTACTACCTATGTTGCCAAAATATCAAGAAATTATATTTTTTTAACTTATTTTCTATTAATTTCTTAAGAGTTTAGTTAACGATAAGAATAATAAAAAAAATCATTAAAACCCTAGGCTTTGAATTTATTATTCTATTGAAAATTAACAATGCCCCACTTGGGCTAAGAATATTTTTTACTTAATTTTTACAATATGGCTATAATAGATTTAGGTAACCTTGCTATTAAAATTGGGTATCTAAAGAATATTGGAAAATATAATGAGGTTACGATGATCGAAAATTAAACCTATAATTAAAAATTATTTTTAGAAATGGTCGAAGCTGGCCATAGACGTCAGGGTTTACCTTATTGCTTGCTGGTACAAAGAGAAAAATATAGTTAAGGGGATTCATAGTTTCATAGTTGTCGATTTTCGAAAGAAATCAGTACATGTATATTATTTCGTATATTTTTCATTTTATTCATTTTATGGAAAGCACTGTTCATTAAAATGTTGTATCCTATGTTATAGGGCTTGTTTCTCTCTACAATTTTCTGTCTCACAATGTACCGTTTGTGTCGGGGAAGGGATCATAGTTTCACAGTTGTCGATTTTCGAAAGAAATTAGTACAAGTATATTATTTCGTATATTTTTCATTTTATTGATTTTATAGAAAGCACTGTTCATTAAAATGTTGTATCCTATGTTATAGGGCTTGTTTCTCTCTACAATTTCCTGTCTCACAATGTACCGTTTGTGTCCGGGAGGGGTTCATAGTTTCATAGTTGTCGATTTTCGAAAGAAATCAGTCCATGTATATTATTTCGTATATTTTTCATTTTATTAATTTTATGGAAAGCACTGTTCATTAAAATGTTGTATCCTATGTTATAGGGCTTGTTTCTTCTCTACAATTTCCTGTCTCACAATGTACCGTTTGTGTCCAGGAAGGGTTCATAGTTTCATAGATGTCGATTTTCGACAGAAATCAGTACATTTATTTTATTTCGTATATTTTTCATTTTATTCATTTTATGGAAAGCACTGTTCATTAAAATGTTGTATCCTATGTTATAGGGCTTGTTTCTCTCTACAATTTTCTGTCTCACAATGTACCGTTTGTGTCGGGGAAGGGATCATAGTTTCACAGTTGTCGATTTTCGAAAGAAATTAGTACAAGTATATTATTTCGTATATTTTTCATTTTATTGATTTTATGGAAAGCACTGTTCATTAAAATGTTGTATCCTATGTTATAGGGCTTGTTTCTCTCTACAATTTCCTGTCTCACAATGTACCGTTTGTGTCCGGGAGGGGTTCATAGTTTCATAGTTGTCGATTTTCGAAAGAAATCAGTCCATGTATATTATTTCGTATATTTTTCATTTTATTAATTTTATGGAAAGCACTGTTCATTAAAATGTTGTATCCTATGTTATAGGGCTTGTTTCTCTCTACAATTTCCTGTCTCACAATGTACCGTTTGTGTCCAGGAAGGGTTCATAGTTTCATAGATGTCGATTTTCGACAGAAATCAGTACATTTATTTTATTTCGTATATTTTTCATTTTATTCATTTTATGGAAAGCACTGTTCATTAAAATGTTGTATCCTATGTTATAGGGCTTGTTTCTCTCTACAATTTTCTGTCCGGGAAGGGTTCATAGTTTCATAGTTGTCGATTTTCGACAGAAATCAGTACATGTATATTATTTCGTATATTTTTCATTTTACTGATTTTATGGAAAGCACTGTTCATTAAAATGTTGTATCCTATGTTATAGGGCTTGTTTCTCTCTACAATTTCCTGTCTCACAATGTACCGTTTGTGTCCGGGAAGGGTTCATAGTTTCATAGTTGTCGATTTTCGAAAGAAGTCAGTACATGTATATTATTTCGTATATTTTTCATTTTATTGATTTTATGGAAAGCACTGTTCATTAAAATGTTGTATCCTATGTTAAAGGGCTTGTTTCTCTCTACAATTTCCTGTCTCACAATGTACCGTTTGTGTCCGGGAAGGGTTCATAGTTTCATAGTTGTCAAAGCACGTATGTTTGGAATCGGTGCCGGTGTCGAAGCTGAAATCGATTGCAATATAAATAAATTAGCTCCTTCACATATATTCCGATCCGGTAAAATAGTCGGCGACCCGTAAATACAATAGAATTAAATACAACTGTCGGAAGGTGTAGAAAGCCGGCACTGACTCCGGCACCGATTTTGCCGGTGTGTGTGCAAGCGCTCTTAGGCAGATTTCTGAAATATCATATATATTTCCTTCGGCCATACACCCGCTTTACCAGACCCCTGAGAACGACCCGAAAATACAGCGTAATAGACTCTTAAAATTCTTTAATTTATTTAATGGACACCCTATATAATTATTTGAAAAACGCACTAGTTTCGGGGTTCTAATAATCTCATCATCAAAAGCTACTTAAAAATAAATTTTTAAAATCATTTCAAATAACGTTTGGACAATACTATTATCAATAATTTTGTTAATTTAAAAAATATTAACTATGCCAAAAAACCGAAGTCTATGGAAGCCAGAGAATAGGTACATTAAAGAAATGCTAACTTCATGTTAAAAAATGGAAACACGCCACCTGGTGTCGCCTGGCAGTACTAGCTAAATTGAGGGGAATTGGAGGGGCGGGGCTTAAAAGAGGGGAAATTTAAAAAAATATATTTTTATAAGTATCACTGACTTACTGTTTAAAGTTAATAAACATATTTTTTATTACTTTAATATAATTTAATGTATTAAAAAATATGTCTATTAACTTTACACAGCAAATCAATGATATTATTAAAGACTTATTATTTTCAGAGAAAATTCATAGTAAATAAATTACACATTAGTAAACAATATCATTTATTTTTTAGAGCTGCGATTTATATTGCAATAATATTGAAATATATATATATTTTTTTAACAATGAAAAAGAATATCCCGGAACCTGAAAAAGAAAGATGATCAATTAATGACTTAAATTAGTTCAAAATACATTTTGCAAATAACTAGTGAAGTGGAAAGATAAAGATACAATTAAAAAGACATTTTAGTAGTATGTTATCATCTATTTACTGATAATACATTACATAAGTATATAATAGGTAAATAGCATGCATAAGGCACTATGATACAACTACCTGTATCATGATAACACACTAATATGACAAAAAATATATGCTAATTTAAATTCCTTTAATGATCTAATGAAACACTATCTAGCCTCAATGCATGCCATTCCAAAGGCAAAAAACTGTTATACCAAATAAATATAAGCTGAATAAAACATAAACCAAGCCAACGTGCATAAAAAACCAAAAAATGCATCAAAAAATACTTTTATCAGATCATACCCTTGGATATATTATGTATTTTATATATCGCACATCCCGTTCAAAAGTTTACTAACTCAAAATAGAGAATATAGAGAACATTGTCAAGAGAAGTAAAAGAAAATTTAAGTTAAGGCAATATGCTCCTTTTTGGATATTAATGGCCAAATAATATAATGTTGATTTAATAAAATTTTACTGGCATCCTTCTGAGGTATAAATCAGATTAAAAGGACATTGTTTTTGTAATAATTGTTTGTTTTGTAAACATTTTTTGAAGACAATACAGTTTTGAACGGGCTGTGCGATATAAACAAGGATCTTACTATTATTTGAGGTTAGAAAGTATTTAAATAACATAAAACATAATCAAAATCATTTGTCATCATAAATTATAGAGGTACTTACGTGTTTTGATATTATTATCAGGAAATAATACGTTTAGTTAAACAGGTACGCTGCCAGGCAAGTTCTATCGGCGGGTCTTTGCAAAAGTTGAAATCTAAAAATACAAAACTACGTTTACATCTTAGTTGTATTTACGAATAAAGTATTTGTGTGTAATTTCTGACTTACCAGTTAATTGAATAATCGCATTAAATACATCCAAATGGTAATTTAATATTGTAAAAAGCAAAATTGTTTTAAATCACTTGCCAGGACAGCCCGGCCAGCTTCTTTGTTGACAAAATGGCCGCGGTATCATGATTTAAGCAATGTGAGTGACAAAGAAAGCCAATGCCTGGCAGATGTTGCTTTCTTTGTCGTTGGTCCTGGCACGTTTAAATTTGACTGTTGCCTGTTTTCCCATACAAGTGACACCCCCGTGATGGAAGCCTTAATAATTTTTCAAAAAGGTCGATAGGTAAAAACAGACACTGCGAATCAAAGATTTAAAAAACAGTCGCGAATGACGCCGACAATGGTTGCCATGGTAACATTGACAACCGCTACCCGTTTGTTTCTCTCAAAACAAACACAAATTTCATTGTCAAAACGGCGTTTCAGAAGCATGCATTAAAAATTAAAGCGTTGAACAGATAGAGAAATGTTAAAAATAGTATAAGGGCGTTAAAAAGGACTGAAAAAAAAAAGGAATATATCTGTGTAAGCGAAAAATATGGAAGGAAGAAGTACACCGAACCTTGGTGGATTTGCTAACTCCGCTTTTCGAGGAGATACACAAGTGCCAAAATGGCTAGAAGAGATTACAAGGTATGTAGAGCAAATTGTAGAATGTAGAGTTGCGCTAAAAATGCCTGCGAATGTGAACCTTACTGTTTAAGATTATTTTCGCGTTTAAGAGCCTCCACAGACGCTCAGTTCTACAGGCCGGACTGTGCAAGCTATTTTGCGCAGTTTACGGTGCAGTTTTACGCTAAATTTTTGCTTTTTAAGACTTTGTTTATCATATCAATAGAGTAAAATCCCAGAACGATCTGACATAACTTATTTTCACAAAGATGAAACACTAGGCTCTCGGTAGTGCTCTCATGTGCTTTGAATACCGGCGTGTTTGTGGGGTTTGGTTTGGTTGCAGATGCCAGGTGAGAAAGGTAACTAACAGAAATAAATGAACTCTATTTATTTTTACATGTCTGATTTTTACATACCGGGTGTTGCATGGTCGAGCGGGACATAGGAAATCCCATGTAAATTTTAATGGGGTCAACTATTGGCTTCCCTAATTATTTTAGAGAATAATTCTATTTAAGTTTATTGAAGAGCACTAAAACCCACATTCAAAAGAATAAATTTAGATATTTTTGATTAGCCTGTTTACGAGTTATCGCCGATTTCTTTTTAAATATTTCTCCTTTCTTATTTCCCTGTATTTACTTATGAGCACCAGTCGAGATAAAAGATAACTGTCAAATGAAGTTGTCATTTCAGAAATTTATCTATTTAGTGCTTTATTATTATTATTAAAAACTCATACCTACATCGAAAATATTAGCCATGAATTACACTACCGAAGAAAAAGTATTGATGATTAAATGGTATTATCAAGGAAAGAGTTATCAAAAGGTGTCGGACATGTTTGCTGCTCTGTATCTGAATAGACCGATACCTGGAAAATCTACAATCGCAAGGAATATCCAGAGATTTGAGACCAAAGGTACTCTAATAAATAACTGCAGATGTGAAGCAAGGCAGGAACAAAGAGAAGATGCAAGCAAGAAATGATACCGACTTGGAAGTTTTATTGTGCGTGGAAGAGAACGATGGAAAGATCAGCACAAGGAAACTTGAGGATGAAATAGGAATAGATCACACTACAGCATTTCGAATTTTGAAACAACATAAATACTATTCCTTCAAATATGAAAAGCACCAAGAGCTACGAGATGGGGACGAAATACGGCGACAGGCGTTTTGTTTTGATATGATGGAAAGAGCAAACACGGATAGGGAATTTTTAAAAAACATATGTTTCACTGACGAATGCACGTTTACCTTAAATAACGAACCCAATGTTCAAAATTGTCGATATCGGAACCAAGAAAACCAACACAGGTTTGTCGAAACAAGGACGCAATATCCACAGAAAGTAAATGTTTGGCAGGGATATTCGGACACAATATTATCGGGCCATTATTTCTTACGCGAAATTTAAATGAAGAATATTATTTGGAACTACTCGAAAATCATATTTTACCTGCTTTACATGATGCCGCTAGGGAAATTCAGGAAGTTTGGTACCAAATGGATGGCTGCCCGACACATAGTAACCTGGCTGTTCGGGAATATTTAGACAATAGTTTTAACGGAAACGTTATTGGCCTAAATCATACAGTAAATTGACCAGCAAGGTCTCCTGATATTTCGCCAAATGATTTCTTCCTCTGGGGCCATTTAAAAAACAGGATATACAAGGATAAAAAATATCCAAATCTAGACGAGTTAAAAAATGCTATTTCTGCCGAATGCAATAGAAGTTTACCAACTAGCGAATGTAAGAAGAGAATTTTATGATCGCCTGGGTCGATGGAGGAATATTTGAGCATCTTCTTAAATCCTAAAGTTCTAACAATTTAGTAGTACCTAAATTAATAAGTTATTGAATATTGTAATAATACTATAATTAACCTTGTAATTGATTACTTTATTTTACTTTAATTCATATTAATTTGTATTTATAAATACATCTTTAAGATTTCCGATGTAGGAATGAATTTTCAATAATAATAAAGCACTAAACAGGTAAATTTTTGAAATGACAACTTCATTTGACAGTTATCTTTTACCTTGTCTGGTCCTCATAAGTAAATACAGGGTCATAAGAAAGGAGAAATATTTAAAAAGAAATCGGCGATAACTCGTAAACGAGCTAATCAAAAGTATCTAAAGTTATTCTTTTGAATGTGGGTTTTAGTGCTCTTTAATAAACCTAAATAGAATTATTCTTTAAAATAATTAGGGAAGCCAATAATTGACCCTATTAAAATTTACATGGGATTTCCTATGTCCCGTCCGACGATGCAACACATGGTATGTAAAAATCAGACATGTAAAAATAAGTAAAGTGTGGTAAAGTTGATTTATTTCTTTTAGTTTCCGTTCTCACCTGGTATCTGCCAAAGTGTCACGGAGCGAACCCCTCAAATCGCTCTGGGATCTTGGACTACAATCTCTTTTTGTTTTTCTACTATATGGAGTGTTGATAAGCTGCAAATTTATTATTCCACAATTTTTTTTAAAGTAATTTGTAACTGTATATATAGTACACTATCCAAAGAATACTATGACGAATCATCAAGAAGAAGTTCCTTAAGTTCACCTGATCAAAGCTTGTTTGGGCTAGCATTTAGTGGTTCCAACATCCCTAATAGAATACCATACTTTGAGGGAAAAATAGGAGAATCCAGAAGGTAAGTAGGGATTAAAATTAGTATTCAATTTAAAATATCGGGACTCAAATATTCTGTAGCATCCAAGACAAACGGAGTGGTCAGAATTAAAATGCATCAAGTACAATTTCCTACTATTTTAAGATAATTGTCTTTATACGTTTACTAGCGTGTACCAGCGACTTCGTTCGCGCCGAATTAATCATTTGTAATGGTGATGATAAAGCAAAGCAAGAATTTCCATTAACATACAAACTGGAAAATTTTTTTTCACATTTATGTCAGCATGAGAAAAAAAAATATGGTGATATGATTATATAACTTGGTAATATTTGAGGGGTAGTTTCACCTCGTTGGAATTTGACTTTCGAAAAATCCGTTTGCCAAAAATAAGCTTTTTACGTCAAGCAGTTTAAGCAAAATCGTGGTTAAGAAATTACCCAACTTTTTGGAAAACCCTGTATGATTTTTTAAAAATTTCAAAATATGTAAAAAAACCAAATAAATTATGCTTGTCTAAGGGTTTTCCCGAAAGCCTTGTTTATATTATACAAGGCCGAAAGACTAACCGTTTTTTAAATAACAAATATTGTAATATTTGAGGGGCGTTTTCACCCTCTTGGAATTTGAGATTTGAGAAACCCCTCCTTATCGAACCTCTACACCCCACAGATCCGTTTGCCAAAAATCAGCTTTAAACGTCAAGTAAGCAGAATCGTGATTACTCTGTGGTCATATTTTATGAAACACCCTGTATAAATTTAGTTTTAATTCATCTCGAAGAGGAATCGAGCAAAATATCAAGTGTGTTATATTTTTGGAAAGGTAATTTTAAATTAATTTCAGTAAATTAAAAATATACAGGGTGTCCCATATAAAAAATCAAATATTCTGTTGATAATTCTTAAATTATTAATTTTAAAAAAATTATACTTAAACCATTAAATTCTACGTAAAAAGGTGCTTTGGAAATGTTTTCATAAAAATACAAAATTTTCCATAGCAAAAAAGTTACAGCGATTTGTTAAAAATGCATATTTTAGAAAAACACCCCGTAACTCCGAAACGGTAACAGACATCGATATGCGGTTTTCACCATCATGTTTTTGACAAAAATTGAGCTCCAGAGACCGATTTTAGTTTTTGTCTATCTCCTATAGAAAAGGGCGTTTCCATTTAAAAGCGTCGTATTTGACCCACCCTGTACAATTTTTTTTACAATATATCTCTACATTTGAAACTATTTATTTCAATTTAACAGTGCAACATCGTCAGCTAAACATGGTAGAAGATCTTCGGTCGGATGGGATCTCTTACACAAGTCATCTCCCAATCACCTGACTATAACCCCTGCGTACTACGTAGTACCGAAAATAAGCGAACCTGTGGACCTGGCCAGTATCATCAAGCCGGACCTGGAATTGGAGAAGTGCTGGAAAAGCTTGAACGACTTCAACCTGTCACACAAGGGTCGTTTAACCAGTACCGACAAAACGAGTAAACAAAGTAAAACAAAATCGAAGGATTCTGGACTGGTTGCTTCAGGTGATGCTGTATCTGGTAAGAAATGATGCTGGAATCTTTTTGAATAATTGAATACCAAATAAAAGAGCTTTTTAACGCACAGTAGTTGTCTTTTTTTTTCATTTGCTAAAAGCATATTTGATAGAAATTAAAAAAACAGTTCAATCACCTTTTGAAATATTTTACCCTATGTAGAGAACACCCTGTATAATTGCTGGGTGTACAGGTTGTCAATAAATAAGACTGGAAAAAGTCAGAAGGTGATTGCTTTTTCTAAAATATTTTTTTTTCTGGTAAAATATGATCACATGAGCTTTTTTGCACAAATGTATTTAGACCCTGTATAGGCTTGGTGCATTCTCCGCCGGTGCTGTCACCATCGGAGAATATCGTAAACAACTACTATATACAAATATACGGGTTTAAATAGCGAGTAGACGAAAATTTTATTATACAGGGTGTCCCAGAAATGAGTGCAGATATTTTAAGGGGTGGTAGATCTGGTCAAAATAAACATATTTTCTCTTTACCATTTTTAAAATAAATTGAAAATAACCGAGTTATTTAACTTTGAAAATTTAAAAAAATAATCGCAACATTTTGAGAACCGCCGGCAGATATCGCCAACTACATCCAATTACCCGGATCAAGCCCGGATTTCAGTTAATTCGACGCACTGTGTTGCCATAGGGACAAGAAAGTATATGTTAAAAGTAAGTCATAAAATCACAACACCTGAGGAGTTTGCAGAGATGCATTACATTTTTAAGATTGTGATATTATTACATAAAATAAATTAAAAGTTAAATGTTTAATAATGTGTTAAAAAATGTGTTAAAGAAGTTAAATTAAAAAACTTACCCAACATTAAAAAAGATACTTATGATAGATCGATGTAACTGTGGCAGTTCTCTTTTTCGATATACACTTAACTAAAATACACTTCACTGTGCTGCTTTACTTGTACATGCTATTATAATAACTACTAAAATAACAGTCCCCATTTTTAACACATTATTTTCATATAGGCCTCATCACAATTTGAACCACTGATTTACAAAACACCTTGAAAAGCACACATTACTTTGAATACCTTTCTGAATGAATAAATGTTGAGAATTATTGTCTCTTACTGCCACTTTCCGAACTACTTTCAATATAAGAAAATACATGTTTCACTAAACAATTTTAAATACGTATTTTGTTTTTTCGCTATTTTTTCTATGTATTTCAACAATTCCATCGACAGCCCAAACGTCACGTCGGCCAAGAGAGCCGCGCATTAGTGGTAACTGCTCCTTTGTCGCGCCGCCGTGTCGAGCTTGCGTCATGCGAGGTTGCCGTAATTTCAACAATTCAAGACACTCGAAGCAATCAAATTCTTATTAAATTTTAAAAATAAAACAGAAAAACATGAAAGGAAACAAACAAAACACAAATGAATTGGTTATTGATAAGGTCACAAAAAAGAAATTTCTAAAATGTTTATCGTAATTCAGAATTCAATACATCGAAAACAGCCCGACGAATAACCAATTCATTTTTATTTTGTTTATTTTCTTTCATGTTTCTCTGTTTTATTTTTAAAATTTAATACGAATTTGATTGCTTCGAATGTCTTGAATTTGAAATTGTTGTAACTACGGCAACGTTGCTTAACATCATCGTCTGACGCAAGCCCGCCACGACGGCGCGGCGACCGGCGACTCAAAGAGAAGTGTCTAGTCCTAGCCGTCAACTATTAAGCTTGACCAATCAGGTTGGTTAGCGTGGTTATTTGGAGTGTGTTAATTCATTTGTGTTTGTCAAAAACTCTAACGTGATTGGTCGGGCTTAACAGTTGCCTGCTAGGGCTAGACACAAGTGACTCAAAGGACCAGTTTACACGCGGCAGTTCTTGGCTGATGGTAAGGCTGTCGATGGAATTGTCAAAATACATCGAAAAAATAGCGAAAAAACAAAATACGTTGTCAATAATTGTTGAGTGAAACAAGTATTTTCTTAGATTGAAAATAGTTCGTAAAGTGGCGATAAGAGACAATAATTCTCAACATTTATTCATTCAGTAAGGTATTCAAAGTAATGTGCGCTTTTCAAGGTGTTTTGTAAAACAGTGGTTCAAATAAAACAGAGAAACATGAAAGAAAACAAACAAAACAAAAATGAATCGATTATTCGTTGGGCTGTTTTCTAAATTTCTTGAATTAAATTCTAAATTACGATAAACATTTTCGGAATTTCTTTTTTGTGACCTGATTGTGAATAATATGAATCATTTTATTAAATTTATTCCAAAATAAAGTTATTTTGCAGCATAACAAAGATTTTCGTAAACGTCATAGACGTAATGTTTTAGTTAGTTTTCGGTGGTTTTTGTTAAGTTTTCATTGAAAGGGTAAGTACTAAAAATAATTAATGTGTTTTTTTCTATAATTATTAATAATGAGCACTGATAAAAGATTAAATCTAACATTCCTAATTTTTTGAGTAGACATTTGTCTATGAATTTATAAATGTAGAACTATGTTCCGCCGAACTATGTAGAATGTGGATAACATAGGAGGTTGCAACACTGCAAGGTTTAGATACACCGTAGGGAAATCTTAGGTGAATAAACAAGTGGCACTAAAAAGTTTTTTCAAATTTCCCGGAAAATGTCAAGAAAAATTTTAAATTTTCAACATTTTTTTTTCGCAAAAAAACCCTCATAGGCGTGTTTCTGGGGTTGAACTATACTACCAGTTAAAATATTTGCCCTTATTTCTGGGACACCCTGTATAATAATTATTCTAAAAGTGTTAGGGAGTATAATTTGTGAAAATTCTAAAAATACAAATAAAAAAGTAAATATTTTGATATCTTTAGAAGGTCTAACTTGTATTTTAATTTATTTATTCCAGCTAAAAAAAATCTTTATATGAGTTCAACTACGGTAGTGAGCATAGTTTTTTAATCACCGGTTTTGGTAGTGGGGTCATAATTTCGTCTACGAAATTTTTTAAAGGTACATAATTATAATTTTAGAAGGTGTTCATAAAACATTTAATCACTAGTCGATTAAAAAAAGTATACCATTAATATTGCCAAATTATATTTTATCCTCTCATAGTGTATGTCGTTTTAATTTTTTGATGATGTAACGAGCACTTTGCTTTAGTGATGGGTTGTTATTTAACTATCTGTTATTTTATAACAATTATTTAGAAGTAACATAACGCAACCGTTACTCCTTTTAAAAAATAACGATACGCAGAGATCGACCGTTCGTGAAACGAAGTCGGCGCTCTGCACCGCCACGAAATTCGATGCTGCTCGAAGCAATTCCAAAAAACAACTAATAGATTATGGATGGAAAATATGTTATTTCGACAACCATCGATACAGGCGGCGAATTACAACGGACAACGGAGTGGGGAATGCGCTACGGCGCGGCGCGGCAAACGTAGCTGCATCGGTCGATGGTCGTGTGGGGCTTGCAACAGCTTAAAAATAATAGGATATAAAAGAAGCAGCTTTTTTGAAACAGTTGCGGGCATAACGCCTGGCGGTCGAGATAACAGGAGTGGGAAAGGAACGCTGCTGCATCGGTCGATTGTCGATGGAGGCTCGCAACGGGTTGAAGAAGCAGTCATTTTAGATACGTTGTTTTTTTAACCTGTTACGAGCATAACAGAGCGGCGGTCGAGATAATTGGAGTGGGAAAGTAACGCTGCTGCATCGATCGATTGTCGATGGAGGTTCGAAACAGGTTGGAGAATAACGCATCAGTTTGTTTGCTCACTTCTTTCGTCGAACTGCTTGAATTCATTTTTGCTTTTGATCAAATCGGTGTGAGAAACTATGAAGTTTTAAAATGTTGTTTCGGGATAGTTGAATATCCGGGAAAGTGAGTTAATGAATGTTATTGCACCCAATAACGCCTTCATTACGCTCTCCTTTACGCGTTAACATTTTTTTGTCAATTTTATTAACATTTCAAATTGTCACAATACAACACGACGCCTAGTTCGAATTCTGTTTCACTTAATTTTTACTACCCAAAACAGCGTTACATCACACAAACCTCACTCTGAGGGTTTTATAGTTTCAATAACTGCACTAGCAATGAACTAAAATACTTAAATATTATGACAAAACGACGATTTGAACATTATTTTAATGCGATCAACATGACGGCGCGGCGGCGTGAAGTACATAATTATAATTTCTGATTTCTGCCCTAGAGTGCGCTGCGGTCGGAAGTTTTTAAAATCAACTGAAATGCACCACGCCTATTAATTGCACTGTACCTACCAAATTTTACTTATATAATTAGTTTATAATAAGCAACTTATATTTTTTATTTTGAACAATGTCCACATGATTGTAATAGGCATGATATAAAACATTTTCGTTGAATTATTAAGTTTGATTTAGACGGTTTTCATCAATCACTCAGTAAGTAGGTGAAATTAAAAATGTCTTTTTTGAAATGAACTTATTTTTTTCTTTTAGGTTCAAGCTCCGAGTTCAATTCTTCTCTCGATGTTGGTGAGTAATCAAATAATACAGTATGTCCCCGAATTGTCTTGACAAGAGGAAAAACTTTTTTATTATTGATATTTTGAGGAAAATGAATTCTTCATAAAACATTTTGCTTGTTGTAGAATGTTTAATCTCGTTTATACTTTTCCAAATTTCTATACTGTTTTAGAGAAAATTAAAAAAAACATGAAAATATGGTTGAATTTGTTGTTTTAAAATTTTAAAGAAGCACAAAATTTATTTAGTTCAATGCTACGGAAAGGGTGATACCTAATAGTTATCAGAAAATTTGATGTTTTAACAACAGGAAATAGTTATTTTTTATACAAGACTATAAAATGGCATTTTATCGTCGACTGAAAGTATTAATTCACGAGCGAATTTCGGGAGACGATAATGTAATTTTATCGTCGTGTATAAAACAATATTTTTTTCCATAACGAGTTACGTTTTAAAAAATATTCAGAAATTATTATTTCAAGGAATTTATTACGAGTAGAAAAAATATTGTGCTAGGTTGGCGTTGGTTTCTATCTACTTTGACAAATAAATAAAGCTGTCTCTTTAGTTGTCAGTTTTGAGTCAATATTTTTTAACTCTTTCGTGTCGATTGCTAAGGCAATTTTAACAGTTGCTATTCAAAAAAGTATGAAGTTAATCAAAATTAATAATAACAATCTGTCAAAGAATGAAATCGAAATTATATTACCACAGAAACGCCTTTTAATTTTTAGGACTTCAACCATATTTTCATGTTTTTTTTTAAATTTTCTCTAAAACAGGAAGGAAATTTGGAAAAGTATAAACAGGATTAACCATTTTGAAACAGGCAAAATTTTTTATGAAGAATGAATTTTTCTCAAAATTTCAATAATATTTTTTTTTCCTCTTGTAAGGACAAGATTGTGTAATAATAATAAATACATCTACTAAATTGTCTACAGACTCTACACCGGAACGATGTAGAAGCGAATTATCTCATTGTCTACCTTTGTACGAGTACGGTAGCATCAGGAAAGCAACTGAGAGGCATCTGAGAAGCAGACATCTTGAAACCGATTCTGACAGCTTGAATTCCTATGGAATTACCAAGTCCAGATCATCGGAGACTATTTTTGGGAGCAGTGTGAAGAGTTCTAGCGATGACGTAGAATCTAGCGGAGAAAATATTGAACCAAATAAAAGGTTGAGTTGATTTTTTACGTAAACTTTTTGTTTGGTAGTGTTTATAATATGTTTTGATGAAATTAGAATAATATTAGAGTCAATTTCCTGTATAACAGCTGGAGTAACCATATAAATTGAATAGGGCGCAATGTGGCCAACATTGCGATAATAAAATTCGGTTTAGAATAGATCATATTTTATCTATACAGATCTGTTAGATCGGTTAGATCTGGTTAAAAGAAACATCTTTTCTCTTTACCATTTTTAAAATAAATTGAAAATAACCAAGTTATTAAACTTTGAAATTTAAAAAAATAATGGAAACATTTTGAGAACCGCTGGCCATAGTCGGCTATTAAGGATTTTTCACAAGGTTTTTCAGCTTATTCGACGCCTCAAGTGAATAAACAAGTGGCTCCAAAAAGTTTTTTAAAATTTATCGGAAAATGTCAAAAAAATTATAAAATTTTCAACAATTTTTTTTTGCCAAAAAAAACTCATAGGCGTGTTTCTGGGACACCTTGTATAGTATAATCCAGGCGGCACAATATATTGGCGCTATTGCACGCTACCGTCGAAAATACTAACTTGTGAAAGGTTATGCTTTTATTTTTGTTGTAAATCCCACAAATCATACACTTTATGTGTTCCATCCCATAGAATTTTTGTCATACTTTATAAACCAAGTTATAACGAATATTTTTAGAGATTTTATATCTACTCTTTTAGGTATAGCGAAAATTTTGAGAGACGGTTGAGCAGCTACAAGTTGAGCCTTGCCGAAGAGGAAAAATTAAGAGAAATGATGATCAACGAGTTGCTCAGTGAGAACGAGAGAATCACGAGTGCTTCAGGTATAGTCTATAAAATGAATAACTTTGAATTTTGACCGTTATTTTTTACCAACATGGCAAATATAAAATCCCTCTGTCAAAAAAGTTACTGATATTCTTTAAATTGAGTGCCTGAACGAATCAGATAGGTAACTCTTTTTACTTTCGTGAAATAGAAAAGGAAAATAATAAAACAAGTGACAATTCTTCCTCTTCTTGCAAAAATCAACTTGAATGACATAATTGTCAAAAGTAAAATGTCATCAGCTTTTAACATTTTTAAATATCAGACCAATGCCGTCTCTAATAGAACAGCCACGGACCGAGATTTATGACGTCACGCTAGTTAGATACTACGGATTAATAAATATGTTGTAGAATACATGGAAAACATAATTATTCCTCGTATTTTTGGTTTGTATTTTAAAAATGATATAGTTTACATGAAATATACATAATATACAGTTAATAAATATAATATATGTACCTATTTATAGTAATAAATACTTTGGCAAATAAACTATGAACCATACAAATGCAGCAAATGTGTTTACGATATACAAATAATGAATAGGTACATAAGATAATGGGTAAAATGTAAATATATTTTAAATTTGGGGGTTTGAAAATCTAATTTAACAAAAAACATTCAATATCTACTAATAGTGATGTATTATTATTTACATTCACAAAATTTATATGCATATTTTGCAAGTATCAATGTTCGAAAAATTATATTTGCAAATATTACAATATCATAGAAAAAAAGGCTTCAGCGATGGCTATGAAATAAAGATCGCTGTCATTTTATATGTAAAATTATTCTAAAATTTTTGATTTTCTTGGGATTTAAGTTCGGGAAAAACGCTGACTAAGTTTTCATTTGGTTTTTCATTTTTTTTTTGTTAAAAAAAATGTTTCGGCTAACATTATAGCAGAGTAAGTAAACCGCCGAGTAGCGACAGTCCCGTTTTCAATTTTCTTTGCGGCTGCGCGAAATAAGTTGGTTATCTGTCATATGAAGAAGCGAAGTTGCCACTGTTGCCATTTATCAAATATCTCTATATACTTTATTTTAAGTATATCTCAGGCAACGAATCGTTTTTTTAATTATTTATTAGCTGTAAGATATTTTATACATTAAAATTTAGAAATCAGGATAAAACAAAACAGATAAAATATGTATAAAACTTTATAATTAATTCCACTTCAAATTATAAGCAGTGTATACCATGTTTATAGGACCACTTCATAAGTTGAGCAGTTAAATACGTAGTCTATCTGTCAAACACGTCAAATGAGAGAGAAAGAAAATTTGGTCCCACCACATCAAAAGAGCCGACTGTTTCTGTCGCTACTCGGCGATCTACTTACTCTGATTATAGCCTTCATCAGTGTTGTGTCATATGAAAAAAATAGTGTCGAATATATAATCCAAAAAATTATATATAAAATATTCTAAATATATATGTTACTGTAAATGTCCGAAATACAGTAAAACCTAGGATTTACCAAAAGCAAGTGGTAGTAAAAACCAACCAACCCCACCATATATTCACCTAACCAATGCATTAACACCCCCCAAATAACCAGGCTAACCAATGCATTAAGACCCTCTAAACCAGGCTAACTTAATTAGTTAATGCTTTTGGTAAATCCTAGGTTTAGCGCGCTTATTCTAGGTTTTACCGTATTTCGGACATTTACAGTAACATATATATTTATTAATTAATACATATTTATTAATCCGTAGTATCTAACTAGCGTGACGTCATAAATCTCGCTCCGAGGCTGTTCTATTAGAGACGGCATTGCGTCAGCATGGCCGCAAGTTGCTAACCTAATAAAATTAACACTAGAAAAGCCCGCGGGAACTGTCAAATTCAAAGTTATTCGTTTCACAGACTATAATATTCAAGTAAATAAAAACTGTCACACTGGTTCTTTTAAGCCAGTACTTTTTTAGATAACATTGCTTAGTTTAAACTAAGTGTGGGTTTACACGCAACCGTAATACGTTGTTTGTCATTCCGCAATAATCATAGGCCAAAATGACATTACCCGCAAATTTTGATGTATAATTAGTGGAAAAAGTTAAAAGTTTGTTACTGTTTCTACTAACTGAAAATTGCTACCGCTAATTTTGACGTTCTGAATGCTTACATTGAAATTAGAGGCACAAACTTCTACTCTAATTGAAACCAGTAATTTATTCCACTAATTGCGAGGTTCTAAATGAAGCTTAACTGTTTCTACTAAATGAAAAATTTCTACCGCTAATTTTGACGTTCTGAATGCTTACACTGAAATTAGAGGAACATACCTCTGCGCTAATTGAAACCACTAATTTCTTCCACTAATTTCGAGGTTCTGAATGAAGCTTAGGTGTTTTGGTATATCGCGATGGATTTTTTTACATTTTTAAAACATATTAAAACATTTTCTTTTCATTTTTGTTTCAGATGTGAGGCACAGGAAGCCAAGTGCGAAGTCTGAGCCAAAAATTCATCAAAAAGTTTCTAAATTTAAGAGTAAATATTCCGAGAGAAGAACGAGTTTCCCTCAAGACGAGAATTTCTATCGGAAATACGGAGGAGGCGATGAATTTATTATACCAGAACTACCCTGTGGAAAGGTACGCCATTAAAATTACTTATATTTTAGTTATAGACAATAAAAAGGACTATTAAAAATTTAGGGACACTTTAAATACATTTTTTTTTTAATTCTGCATCAATTGAGATATACCTCGCACTAATGAGCCACCCTGTATATATGACAGAAGTTTGCAAATGAATATAATATGACTGTTTCTAGTTACTTTATTAAATATTTAATTTAGTTTTTTTTAATCAGGTATTAATTGTTGACATTTCAACTACTTGGGGCGACAAGTACTACGTAGGTCTAAATGGAATCGAACTTTTTAGTGATACAGGGGAGATAATAAAAGTTAAAACAGTTAAGTAAAGTGTTATTCGCACATCTCTCTATAAAAACTAAATTAATTTTTTCTCCCGCAGATTTACGCTGTACCTTCAGATGTAAACGTTCTACCCGAGTGCCAAAACGATCCCAGGGTTGTATCCAATCTGTTGGACGGCGTGAATAGGACCAGGGACGACCTGCACATATGGCTTGCCCCGTTTTACCCGGGCAACAGCCACGTCATCAGTATGGAGTTTTTTGAGGTTACGACAATCGCCATGATCAGGATATGGGTAGGTACGACAAAAATGTAAAGGTTTTCAATAACTAATAATAATATTATATAGCTATAAAAAAAAATTACGCAGTTTTATATGCTGGACTAAGACACTTTTTCCACAGTTTAAAGAATATAAATATATCAGTTGACCTACTCTTCGCCCGTATCAAAATTCCACCCGCCGTTCCCCGCCTGTCTTGTAGACTTGGGTCAGTATACATCCGTTGCTCGACGTGTACACAGCGTTCCAAGTTTTTTTTAGTTTTGTTTTCGGTCCGACGCATAGGGTGAACCAAAAATAGTGTTTTAGTTATTTTGTTCGAATTGTGGATAAAATGTCTACTAGAAATATTTGTGCAGTGGATGGTTGTGAAAGTAGAATGACAGACAATATATCGTTCTTTAGGTGCCCAAAAGATGAAGGAAGGTATGTGTTTATATAGTATAGGAATAAGTATATAATAATTAAAGTATTAGACATGTTAAATATATTATAATTATGGAAACCTAACTATGAATAAATGGTTTTAAAAATATACATATAAATTAAGAAAAGATTTTACTCGAAATATGCACAAAATATTTATTTTTAACAATTAGTTTATTATTTTAGTAGATATTTTAGAGTAGTAGTAGATACTTTACTATTATGTTTTGGATTTTGCAGTATTTACCGGTTTGCAAAGTGCATATTAAATTATTATTTAAGATATTTGCATTTTTTTAAATAGCATGTTTTACTTTTTAGATGTTTGTCTTTAACTTTGACTACCTACCTGGAAAGTCCAAATTTTATCGTCAGGTAATAAAAATACGTGCATACAACTTCTTCTGCTATTGACAAGTTTTTTAGAGTTTTTACTAAATTTTATGTAACAGTAAATATAACTATTGACGAGCACATGGGAAAAACGATGAGTATCCAGAAATGATAAATGTTCAGGAAACCGTTCTTTTTAATTGAAATTTCGCATGGACTTTTATATCCCAGTTTATATCGTTTTTCTCATTTTTAAATGCCTGTTTCTATGTGGCCGTTATCGATATTCCCGTTTATTTAGGTACCAAAAGATGTAGCTTTTTGGTACTGTCATTATTTTTCCCGTGTGCTCTTCAATTAGTAGTAAATACTGTAATAAATTATATTTGCATATTTCTTAAGTTATAGCATGTTATGCTTTTTAGCTGTTTGCATTTAACTTGAATTATCTATCTTTTTATTAAAAGGTTATAAAAACTACTTGGATACAACTTGTCTTGCCATAGTAATTTTTTTTTTAGTTTTTACTAAATTTTATCGAACAGTAAAATTTATTACACAATTAATTACTAACAGTTATAATTGTAATTGGCAACACAAGTTGTATGCAAAGGTACTTTTATTATCTTACGATAAAATTTAGGCTTTCCGGGTAGGTAATTAAAGTAAAATGCAAACATCTATAAAGCAAAACATGCTAAAATTTAAGAAATATGCAAATTATTATTATATATATTAAAAAAATTAACTTATTATATTTATTTAGTATACATTTTTCATATGGGGTTTCCATATTAATTATTAATAATAATTACCCTATTAACAATTCCATATTACAAAGAATTAGGATAGAATAATATATCTAATATTTTAATATTAATGTAGATATATTTAATACTAAATACTAATAAATATTGATCAATTATTAAAGACGCCTAAAACTGTTAATCAATAAAACTAGTACTGTATTTTTATTTTTCTACTAGCTATATTAAAATTCCTTAGTATTTTTAGTTGATCCCTCGTATACGGCCAGCGTTCTGGGCCGCCGGCCGTTAACGGGCCGCCTGCCGTTAACGGGCCGCCTTTGAAGTCAAAAAAACAATAGAATTCCCTAGAGTAGGCCAACTGATATATTTATATTCTTTAAACTGTGCTTTTTCTACCTTGAATTTGTCGAGTTATCAGCAGAATTGCGACACTTGTTACTAATTATTAATTTCTAATTACTAATTACAAATTTCCAATAACTAATTTCTAATTACTAATTACTAATTTCTACTTTCTAATTAATTATTACTAATTTTTAATTCCTAATTTCAAATTACTGATTTCTAATTACTAATTTCTAATAACTAATTTCTAATTACTGATTTCTAATTACTAATTTATAATTAATAATTTTTAATACTAATTTCTACTTTCTAATTACTAATTTCAAATTACTAATTTCTAATTACTAATTACGAATTTCTAATTACTAATTACGAATTTCTAATTACTAATTATTAATTTCTACTTTCTAATTACTACTTACTAAATATTAATTTCTAATTACTAATTTCTTATTAACAATTACTAATCACTAATTACAAATTTCTAATTAACAATTAGTAACTATTATAACTTAATTCTAGAATTATAACAAGTCCCGAATTCATTCCTACAGAGGTGTAAAAGATATAGTAATGCTTTTGGATAACAAAGCTATTTTCAAAGGAGAGATTGCCAAGGCTTGCGGAGAAATTCTTGGCGGGATACATCAGTTTGGAGACGTGAGAAGCTTTAACAAATTTTAATAATTTTTTGATAATATTTTTCGATTTTTAGACGATTCTATTCACGACTGATGAAATTATTTTGGAGAATATATCGTTGAATGACACTTCATTCTCTAGTCTCACATCGCAACCTCCTTCGCCTCCTCATAGGGACGACAGGCCTCCCACATCGATTATGGAGAGTGAGGTAGGGTATGATCATAAGATTCTATAATCGAGATTGTTTTGATCGTTTACAGTAAACCAAATTTTAATGTAATATTCTCAAAAATCAAATTTTATAATTTTTCTTGTAGGAGCAATTAGTGTAAAATAGTTTTAAGGCCACCCTGTATATACGGGGTGTCCCTTAAGTAAGTGCAAGGATTTTAAGGGATTTTAAGGATTAATGGACGAAAGAAACATAGTTTCTATAGTCTGTGAAATGAATAACTTTGAATTTGACAGTTCCCGCGGGTTTTTTTAGTGTTTATTTTATTAGGTTAGCAACTTGCGGCCATGCTGACGCAATGCCGTCTCTAATAGAACAGCCTCTGAGCGAGATTTATGACGTCACGCTAGTTAGATACTACGGATTAATAAATATGTTGTAGAATACATGGAAAACATAATTATTCCTCGTATTTTTGGTTTGTATTTAAAAAACAAACATTGATTTTAAAATATAAACCAAAAATACGAGGAATAGTTATGTTTTCCATGTATTCTAACACATATTTATTAATCCATAGTATCTAACTAGCGTGACGTCATAAATCCCGCTCCGAGGCTGTTCTATTAGAGACGGCATTGGTCTGATATTTAGAAATGTCAAAAGCTGATGACATTTTACTTTTGATAATTATGACATTTCGTGTTGATTTTTGGTAGAAGAGGAAGAACTATCACTTGTTTTATTATTTTCCTTTTCTATTTCACGAAAGTAAAAAGAGTTACCTATCTGATTCGTTCAGGCACTCAATTTAAAGAACATCAGTAACTTTTTTGACAGAGTGATTTTATATTTGCCGTGTTGGTAAGAAATAACGGCAAAAATTCAAAGTTATTCATTTTATCGACTATATGTACTATTTTTAAAATAACCTAGTTATTTAATTTTGAAAATTTGGGATGTAAAGGTTACATTTTGAGAACCGCCGTGATCAACTGGCAATCATACTCTTCGAAGCCCTGTGTTGCCACATGTACAAAAGAGTATACATTTAACTTGAATAAAAATACTTCGTAATAGGGCGATACGAGAATTTGCATTATTTCATAAGATATTTATTCTTTCATTTTAGTTGAAAATAACTGGTAAAATATATATTAGTGTGCGTTAAAAAATAAGTACAATAATGCGTTTTCCTATAATTATTATTAGTAATGTTACTGATACAATTAAAATTCATTTTCGTAATTTGTTGTGTAGAAAATTTAAAGTACTGTGAACTTATAAATAAACACACAAATATACAGAATGTGGGTAATGTAGGAGGTAGCAACATTGCAAAGCTTCGATACACCGTCAAAAACTCCAGGAGAATGAACCTGTAGCACTAAAAAGTTTTTTTTTAATCCACTGAAAATGTCAAAAAATCGGGGTTGAAATATCGGTACTACAAGTTAAAATACTTGTACCTATTTAAGAAACATCCTATATAACAAATCCTGCAAAAAAATAAGTTTTTCGTCATTTTATTGAATACAAGCTCGTTTTTTAGGTAAGGCCGGTAACAGGGAAATCTGTAACAAAAAAAGACAGCCTAAACAGCAGACAAGGTCACCTTACAACACCCTCTGGTGATTCCCCTGAACAAATACTCTTAGGGACGAAGAAAATCGATCTTGTTTTGATGGAAAATTGGGGAAATCCACTGGCGATTGGTTTAACTGGTCTGGAAATCATCGAGGGCACCGATAATTTATTAAAGTTTGTATGAGCCGATGCATCACTCGGTATATTTCGTATAGAAACATACTATTACACATTTAACAAATTTATTAAACAAGTAGAGACTGTTTTATACTGATTTTTTAGGTGTGAAGAGAGAAATTTGTCCTGCAACGTCACGACAAACTGTCTGGGAAATTTAATAAACAGCCAAAATGTATCAACACGCTGTAAAAACATGTGGTGTGTCCCAAAACCACACGATAATGTAGTTATTACTGTTACGTTCGACGATTACAAGTATATTTCAGGTGATTTAATGAAACATATATGACATATAGACAAGACAACACAAATATTCTCTTGTCAGACAGACTATACTTTTAGATTTAGTATCTTTTCAAAAAGAAATGTTTTTTGAAGGTGTGCGTATATGGAACTACAATGAGAACTTGCAGCTGTCCTACGTGGGCGTCAAAACTGTCAAATTTCTGTTGGACGATCGACCAATGATCAATCCGAACAGTGATGACGAATATTTTCTGTTAAGAAGAGCACCGGGAAATGTATTTTACGATTTCGTCCAAGAAATCAGGTAAAACAAAATTTTTAGTCATTTTATACCCATTTTTTAAATTGATTTTGAATGAGATTTATAATATTTTATTATCTCTTATTAAAAATTTCTTATGTTATTTATTTATCTATTTAAGATTTTATTTTTTAAGGAAAATTACGACAGACGACATCCAAAAATGACAGATACAACTGTTACTGTCATGCATCCTCTCATTGTAAAACATAGACGCCATTATAATATATATTTACTGAATATATGTCATATGATCGAAAAAAGTTGTTTAGTTGGCTTGGAAATGTCGATTATTGACATTTACTATAATATTTTACATATGAAATAACAGCGATCTTCACTTCCAAGCTAACTCTGACGCCTTTCTTTCTTTTTTCTTTGTTTAATCATATTATAATTGTTCGATGATAGAAAATCCGTATTATTAACGTACTGTACCCAAAATCCGTAAATCTACGGATTAATCAGTAGTTCTGGCAACACTGTCTCCGACAACAACCCACTCTGTCGACTGAAAGCAGAACTAGGGTACAGTATTCTTTATCCGCTGCGCTGTAAACGACTATCACTGCGCAGCACCGTTTTTTTGGTCATGTCTTATAAATTTAACGAATTTTAGGTAAAGTCTGTAAATACTTCACAAGTGAATTGTAATTTCTGTCATTTTTTGGATGGTGTCTATCGAAATATTTCCTCTTCGTTGCCGTAATTCACAATAAAAACAAAAATCACTGTTATAAAGAACAATCTTTCCTTGTGATTTAATACAGAACACAAGTTTTATAATTACACTTTTTTTAATAGGTTTTTCGAGAATTCAATCAATCCAAATATGATTCTTTTGAATCCTGAGGATGTTCACAACTGCGTGATGGGTTTTGTTGTGGAAGTAGTGATATATTCCACGTGGGGTGATACATATTATTGTAGTCTCAATGGTCTAGAACTTTTCAGTGGCGATGGCAGGAAAATCAAGCTTGATGAACAAAGTATGTTTGAAAAAAAAACATATTTTATTTTATACTGTATGGTAAAACACACCTTTACACACAATTTGATATTTTTTTTAATATCAACTGTTTGTAGCCTTGTTAGATTTATCCTTCTTTAGGAGTCAGATTTTCAGTACTATTGGCTCCATTTTATCTGCTTTTTTACTGTTTTTTTAGATATATGTGCATATCCAGAAAGCGTGAATATTTTGCCCAACGTTTTTGGTGATGTTAGAACTCCGGATAAGTTGATTGATGATGAAAATTCTTGTGATTCCGGATGTCATTCTTGGTGAGTATGAAGCATTAAAAATATAAATACAAGAAGACTAAGAAATAATCAAGGAAGTATAGTAACCAGAGATAGGCAAACACCCGGTATACTGAAATTTGGGTAAATAGCCGATGTTTTGCATCCTGTATACACCCAATAGATAAATACAGGGTACATTGAATTTGAGTAAATACTATATACCCAGTACTTGTGTATAAAAGTATGTTTATTTTGTTAAGTTAACGTACTATAACAAATTTTAACAACAATTTGTTGTTACCTTACTTATCTTACCCCCACAAAGACTGCACAATACCACAAAAGCCTTAACAGTATTGAAAAGACAGCACAACGCAAACAGTTCAATTTAGGTTAATCGAATTTTACAAGGGGCTTCCCAAATATTATATTCTCAATGGGTATATACATATATCCTACACCTTCTGGGTATATACCAGATATATACCCAAATTTCTTTATTATACCTATTGGGTATTTATCCACCGCCGCATAGTTTCGTTGAAAAGTTTTCGCACAGTCAAATAAATTAGACATAAATTTTTCATATTAATATTAGTTGTACACATTCCTTATAGTCTTTTTAATTTGTGGTATATGTAATGGTTATCGTTAAAAAGAGGTTCTAAAATTCAACTTGAATATTTTAGGATGGCTCCGGTGATTCCCAAACACTTGAACAGGATCTACATAGTGTTGGATGTGCCAGTGTCAATTGCCTCTGTCAGATTCTGGAACTATTCCAAGACTCCAGCTAGAGGCGTCAAAGATTTTGGGGTAAATTTGTTTGAATACTTAACCTAGGATGAATCAAAATCACACAATAGTATGAAATGGCTCTAAAGTAGAGCAATAAAAAGTTATCAACTCTGAATAAAAATTACCGCCTGATTTTTTTTTCTGCCTTTAATAATTTATATTCTGTACATTCTGTTTTAGATTTTAGTAGACGATCTGCTCATATACAACGGAACGCTGAAACCAGCCGAAAAGAACAACCAATACGAAACGGTTTATTTGATCGACAGCGGGGAATCCCAGAGCGGTGACGAAGAAAACGACGATCCCATCACTAGGCAGAGCCTGATGATGGACCAGGATCGAATCAGATTGACTGACAGATCGAGCAAAGCAGAGGCAGATCAATCTTTACGCCCCCTCACTTGCATCAGCCCCTGTTATCGCGACTGACACAATTTATTGTTGATTTTTATTAAGAAAAAAGAAAGAATAAAATACTTTTTCTAATGATTTTTTTCTTTTTTGACCTTTTTTATGTAGGTATATCTTGGGTATTTACCTGCGTTTTGTGTTTGTCGATTTATACAGATTTTGCTATAAATATGGTAACCGTAAATCGTACAGTATGTTCAACATTCTACGCCAAACTTTCTAAAATATAAAATAAGTTTTCTTCGTTTTTTTTATGTAACACCCTGTATATTATTTTTTCAATACATGGTGAGCTTTGTATTTAGAGTATTTCAACATTTTTAACAGTTTCAAAACGGTAAAAAATAATATACAGGGTGTTCCATTTAAAAAAAAACAGAAAAATTATTTAATATTTTAGAAAGTTTGGCGTAGAATTTTGAACACCCTGTATGATTCAAGATTACGGTATTTATAGCAAAATAAGAATAGACCGTCTAAAGTAAGAACCACTGGATCTTTTCTGGATTTTCTTTCTTGTAAATTTAATCTAATACCTATGTTGCCATATTATCAAGAAATTATGTTTTTTTAACTAAAAACCCAAAAATGTTTTTCAAAAAATGTCGAATTTTCAAAATTATTTTTTTACCACACATATGACACCCTGTATAGGGGCTCAGTTGGCACCGATTCGGCGTGGCAACACTGTCCAAGCGAGTCAAAACTAACCGAGCATAACAATTAATTACCGAAACTAGAGCAAGAGGAACAGAGAACTGAAAGGAATTGGACCATTGTCTCTGTTCATACTCTCTTTACATTAATTAATTTTGACGCTCCCATATGCAGTTAATTGCCTGTAATTTGAGACTTGTTTAATTATTTTAATTAATAATATCTATACAATATTCTTTATCAACAATCAGAAGCACTTTGATACAGAAAAAAAGAGTACTTACAGTAAGCACATACACGATTTTTTTTCTATTTGTTTTATTAATAAATTTTACTTTGCCACGAAACATATGCTTTCATTTAAGCTTTTATCACTATGTAAATATTGTTTTTCCCTTGAAAGCTCACTCTGCAGTAAAAGGCTTTGACAAACACTCGACCAAATCTGACATGGGTGAAATTTGTTGTTTTGTATTTATGAATTTTTGTCTCCTGGCTTCTCAGGTTGAGAATTTGTAATAGTAAAAAACACTTTCAATAAAAAAATGCTTGATTATGATGTGAGTTTAGAAACAGATCCTTATACAGTTACAACGGAATATGGTTCAACTCTGGCTGTAAACGCTTCAGTAAGTAAAAGTTTGTGTAGTATACAGGGTGTTCTATAGTATCTTGAAAAAGTCCTATATCAAAATTCGTATTTAATTTTTTTTTCTTATACACACACCGGAAAAATCTAGGGATATCATTTTATTAAAGTTAAAAATAAATGTTTTGAATAAACAACCACATATTTGTAGGCCGATTCTTTCTACTTCGATTGAAACGAAGTAGTCACACTAGTTATTTCTAAATTTGGGATATTTGCAGAAGTGTTTGTGCATTTTTTGTCAAATGTATAAAAGCACCTAGCATCAATTGTTCGAATTTAACCTGTACTGGCTATGTTTTTATGATAACTGGCCAGAATTCATTCAAATAACTCTGTTTAGTATTAAACGACATTATGGAGCGTAGACATCTTAACAGAGACGAAATGCTAAGGGCCATGGGTATGCTCGAAGCTGGAATGCGCCAAATCGACGTAGCTAGAACACTAAATACAACGCAAAGTGTAATATCGCGATTACGTGCACGCTACACTGAAAGTGGTGATGTTGCTGAAAGGCACACAGGGCAACATCGCATTACTACCCCTCAGCAAAATCATTTTTTGCAATTAAATGCTCGACGCCGACCGACTCTTACAGCACCAGAGCTTAGTTAATTTCTCCAAGAAACACATAATGTAACCGTTAGTCCTGACTCTGTTCGCAATAGATTAAGAGAGGTCAACTTAAGAAGCAGACGCCCTTGGAGAGCTCAACCCTTAACGAGAGGAAATCCAGAGGTACGATATTTGTGGGCTCAAGATCATGTTCAGTGGTCGAATGAACAATGGACCAATGTTCTCTTCACGGATGAGTCACGCTTTGGAATTCATCCGGATTCGAGAAGGCTTAGGGTATGGAGAGAACCGGGAAATCTTATTCGGTCGGATCATGTTCAGGAAGTGCACCCTTATCAAGGTGGAACAGTTATGGTCTGGGGAGGAGTCCAGTTAGGCCGAAAAACCGATCTCGTTTTTCTTGAAAGGTTTCTAACAGGAATCACATATCGTGATTTAATTCTTGAGCCTGTCGTGTTACCATATGCCAATGATTTTGGGAGAAACTTCATTCTCATGCATGACAATGCGCGGCCTCATACAGCCAGAGTGGTAAGTGAGTTTATCAATGCTCATCAATTAAACATATTACCCTGGCCGGCACAATCTCCTGACCTCAACCCCATCGAGCACGTATGGGACGCGGTCCAAAGAAGAATTTTGAGAATGGGTATGCCTTGTGAAACTCGTAGGGATCTGGTTCGGGCCGTGAATGCAGCGTGGCAGGCTGTACCTCAAGAAGAGATCGACAACCTGATCAGGAGCATGGAGAGACGATGTAGGGTTGTAATGAAGAGTAGAGGAGGCCATACCCTTTATTAAGTAAAAATGGTTTTATCTTTTTTTTTAATTCACAGTTTAGAATAAAAAAAAAATGTGTGTATTTTTTTGAGTTCAATAAAAATCAAGGTAAATTTGAAAAATTCGTTAAATTTCGCATTTTTATTTCCAATACGTCGTGTAAACTATTTGTTTATTTTAATTTTATTATATCAGATATGCAAATAATAAAATTACTGACGATGGCTGGATAAAATTGTAATATCCCTAGACTTTTCCGGTGTGTGTAGTTTTTGTAATTTTAAATAATATTTTTAGATAGATTACGACAATGTGGATTTTCCAAATGTCATATACTACAACAAAGGAACTAAAATACTTCTAAAAAATATTGGAATATTCCTGCCAGTTGTTATGATCGGATTAATAGGTGAAAAATATATTTTTTTAATATCTTTCTACTTTTATTTAATGTAATTTGAGACAGAGATTGCAATAATACTATTATATTTTTTTGCCATACATAATATCTGAGCTTAAGTGTTTTGTAGGAAACTTTTGGGTGATTTACGTCCTAAAAAGCAACAGATACATCAGAACCCCAACAAACCTGATAGTAGGCAACATGGCAGTTGCAGACTCACTATCTCTTCTGATGCATCCATGTTTTATATTTGTTTATGATTACTTCCAAAACTACCAGTTAGGATCAATTGGATGTAAAGGAGAAGGACCCTTAGAGTGTAAAAAAAAACAATCTATAACAATAAAATTATCATAATATTAATGTTAGTTTATTTTTGACAGGTTCAATATTGATGGCGAGTGTCATAAGCATGTCTGCCATTACCTATGACCGTCTTATTTCTATACTGCTTCCAAATGAAACTAGAATCAATCAGACAAAAGCTAAAATAGTTATTTTCTGTACCTGGTTGATTGGGATTGTTCTATCAGTACCTTTGGCGATATTTCGGACATACAAGGTAGGAAAAATGCTCTGGGAAGTACAAAAGGGACACCCCTGTAATTTAATAACTTAAAAGCAGTGTTGCCAACTCAGTAGGAATCCTACTAAATCTAGTAGGTTTCACAGAAGCAGTTTCGCTAACAGCCAGCGGGTAATTTTTGAATATTCTTCGAGATTTAGTAGGGTTCTAATAGAATTTTTGTTTTGATTTAACAGGACGATTAGCAGAGAGTTGGCAACACCGCTTACAAGTCTTAAAATATTTAATTAATACCCTTTTTAGGAACGCCAATGGAAGAACTTTGATGAAACGTACTGTACCGAAAACGTGGTAGTTATTAATGTCTATTGGTATGTTATTATAACAGTTTTAGTATGGCTACCACTGTCCATTCAAATCATTTGTTATAGTGCTATTTTTATTAAAGTAAGTCCATTAAAAAATTAAGAGTAACTTAATAAAAGAGTTTGTTTTTCCTATAGTTAAATCGGTATGAAAAAATGCTGGTAAAATCGTTCTCCAACCACCAATTGGGCTACAAAAAGAGCGCAGCCAAAATGATGTTTATTGTGATTTTAACTTTCATGGTTTGTAGGATTCCTTACACTGCTTTCATTATTTACAGACATTCGTTGTTAAAATCAAAGAAAATAGCTTCAAGTGCCAGCGTTACAAACCTTGTAAGTATTTGTGTAGTTTAAAACAAGTTATATAATTCAAAATTTAAAATATCTGTTAGGCTATTAAAACACGAATAAATACAAATTCTGAAACATTCTTATCATATATCTACCTATTTTTATTTTATCGCATTTTTTCGCCTGCTTTTTATCCGGCGGACGGGTATACGCTAATTCGTCCGGTTCTGCCTATGTTACTACTACCGAATATATAAACAAGGCTACTACGATGGTCCGGTCTGTATATTATTACTACAAATAAGATATTTTCATTTCCCACTGTATATTTTAGTAGAGACATTTTCAGAACTGCCCGATTTACTTTCAAAACGCTGGCTGCCAGTGGTTCTCAAACTTTTCATCACGGGGGTGTCACTTGTATGGAAAAACAGGCAACAGTCAAATTTAAACGTGCCAGGACCAACGACAAAGAAAGCAACATCTGCCAGGCATTGGCTTTCTTTGTCACTCACATTGCTTAAATCATGATACCGCGGTCATTTTGCCAACAAAGAAGCTGGCCGGGCTGTCCTGGCAAGTGATTTAAAACAATTTTGCTTTTTTACAATATTAAATTACCATTTGGAGGTATTTAATGCGATTATTCAGTTAACTGGTAAGTTAGAAATTACACACAAATACTTTATTCGTAAATACAACTAAGATGTAAACGTATTTTTGTATTTTAAGATTTCAACTCTTGCAAAGACCCGCCGATAGAACTTGCCTGGCAGCGTACCTGTTTAACTAAACGTATTATTTCCTGATAATAATATCAAAACACGTAAGTACCTCTATAATTTATGATGAAAAATGATTTTGATTATGTTTTATATTATTTAAATACTTTCTAACCTCAAATAATAGTAAGATCCTTGTTTATATCGCACAGCCCGTTCAAAACTGTATTGTCTTCAAAAAATGTTTACAAAACAAACAATTATTAAAAAACAATGTCCTTTTAATCTGATTTATACCTCAGAAGGATGCCAGTAAAATTTTATTAAATCAACATTATATTATTTGGCCGTTAATATGCAAAAAGGAGCATATTGTCTTAACTTAAATTTTCTTTTACTTCTCCTGACAATGTTCTCTATATTCTCTATTTTGAGTTAGTAAACTTTTGAACGGGACGTGCGATATATAAAATACATAATATATCCAAGGGTATGATCTGATAAAAGTATTTTTTGATGCATTTTTTGGTTGTTTATGCACGTTGGCTTGGTTTATGTTTTATTCAGCTTATATTTATTTGGTATAACAGTTTTTTTTGCCTTTGGAATGGCATGCATTGAGGCTAGATAGTGTTTCATTAGATCATTAAAGGAATTTAAATTAGCATATATTTTTGTCATATTAGTGTGTTATCATGATACAGGTAGTTGTATCATAGTGCCTTATGCATGTTATTTACCTATTATATACTTATGTAATGTATTATCAGTAAATAGATGATAACATACTACTAAAATGTCTTTTTTAATAGTATGTTTATCTTTCCAATTCACTAGTTATTTGCAAAATGTATTTTGAACTAATTTAAGTCATTAATTGATCATCTTTCTTTTTCAGGTTCAGGATATTCTTTTTCATTGTTAAAAAAATATATATATTTCAATATTATTGTAATATAAATCGCAGCTCTAAAAATAAATGATATTGTTTACTAATGTGTAATTTATTTACTATGAATTTTCTCTGAAAATAATAAGTCTTTAATAATATCATTGATTTGCTGTGTAAAGTTAATAGACATATTTTTTAATACATTAAATTATATTAAAGTAATAAAAAATATGTTTATTAACTTTAAACAGTAAGTCAGTGATACTTATAAAAATATTTTTTTTAAATTTCCCCTCTTTTAAGCCCCGCCCCTCCAATTCCCCTCAATTTAGCTAGTACTGCCAGGCGACACCAGGTGGCGTCTGTTTCCATTTTTTAACATGAAGTTAGCATTTCTTTAATGTACCTATTCTCTGCTTTTCATTATTATAAGCGCCCTCTCTTGAGTAACGTCTGCAAATAAAACTTCAAGTAGCTACTAAAAATACTATTTATTAAAGTAAAAATAAACAACACATAAAGGTAACATTTTGGTAAAAACACGAAAACGAACGAAAAAAAAATGTCTAAAATCTATAATATATTATAAGGCACAAAGTAACTAACTATGTATATATATATAAAAATGACATAAATATGTTAAAACCACGTAAGTTTTATCTAACGCCTTGTGGGTTACATAATTTCGAATAAGACCATTTTCTGTCAGCATTCACGAAGGGTCCGTTGTGTATGAAATGAACCATCATCTGTTTTGGGTACCGTAAATTTGGTACCAATTTGGGAGTAATGAGGAAGTACTGTGACGTGTTCTCTTGGCAAGTTGTCTCTACTATAAGTTCAAAAACACGACGCTCATTGTTAGCATCCATACCTTTAAAAAGAAAAAAAAAAACGCTTGCTTTAATATTAATTATTTTTAGGTTAATGGATTGTACCATACGCTGTGGTTCACCTCTAAATACCTACTTATTGTGAATGCTGCTTTGAATCCACTAATCTACTCAGCGACTAATATATCGTTTCGCAATGCTTTCAAAAAAACCAAGTAAGAACTTGTCTACAGAATAAAAGACTATGGAACTATGGTACTGAACGCAAAGGGGTTTCAATATGTCTGACTGAAAAAGTGGCTCACCCCTATAACTTTTTTTATTTTTTCAGATAAAAAAACGAGATTTGGTATGTTGGTATATGACGTAAATTAGGATTGATTAAAGGTGTGTAGTTCGTCAACGAACTAGTCCCAATGAACTATTCCGACCCCGGAATGAAAGGAACTAGTTCCTGGTTTCTCAAAGAACTAGTTCCTCAGGACCTATTCCGGGATCGAGACTGTGACCGATATAGAATAATATGCGACGGCGACGGATCGGCTAGCGCGCGTAGCCCGATGGTAGGCAGGAGTGGGGAGTGCCAGCCGTACGTTATCGGATCCGGACCTAGAGGAACAAAACTAAATAAAAGACTAGTTTACGTACGAATGGATCGGGCCAGCGCGATCGATGCTAGGCAGGAGTGGGGAGTGCCAGCCGTATGCCGTATGTTATCGGATCCGGACCTAAAGGAACTAGAGGAACTAAATAAAATACTAGTTTACGTATGGATCAGCCAGCGCGATTGATGCTAGGCAGGCGTGGGGAGCGCCAGCCATATGTTATCGGATCCGGACATAGAGGAACTATTAAAAGACTAGTTCACGGGAATCTATTCAGTCGGCAGATCCGAGATATAATACAAGGCGACGACGATGGATTCGGCCTTGTCTGTTGCCACAGCCGGCGCGGCGTAATTACCACAGAAATTTGTCGTGGATACTGTTTTTGATTTTTAGTTGTTTTTTAAATATTTTATGGGAATGTTTCACTTTAGGTCCCTAAAATTAAGAAATATCTTATAAAACGAAGTAGATATTCTGAACTTTTAGATAAAAACAAAAAGCTTGAAGCGAGGAAAAATACAATTTTTCGTGAAATTTTTGTAATATTTGCTCCAATTGATTTGTGATATAGTTCTTTAAATTCTGATTTGAGTTTTTTTTTATTTTTTTTTATCTGCAAATAAAACTTACCTATATGTTTTTAACATACACAATTACACGTCTCGTTATATCTCCGTACATTATAAAAATTATACAGATCATACTGTGAATAGTTCTGACTGACAACGAAACGCATTAGCAAGCAAGGGGGATGTCAACGTTAGTCGGGAACTATTGTGAACTAAAGACCTAGTTCAAGGAACTATTCCTCTGGAGGAACTAAAACTAAGGAACTAGTTCCTCCCAAGAAACTAGAATTCTCACCTCTAGGATTGATTGACGTATTCAATTGTTTTCGGTCACTTCCTGTTTCACCGGAAATGACTACAACTTTTGATTTTTAAATGGCACCCTCGGTATTTTTTTACTTTATTCGGTAGAAAATAACACTCTGAATAGAATGACATATCATATGTCAACTTTTGACATTCTCGCTTGAAAAAAAACTGTATTTTAAATTTCAATCTAGAGTTTCATGGCTGTATTAAAAACACTCATTTTCAATCAAGGAGCCTTGGAAAAATAGATTTGATCGTCTAATGCTTTTAGTGTATTGTCCTGGCCGGTTAAAAGATGCACAAATCGTATTTTTAATCATCTCAATTTTTTCAAATGGAACGAGGGTGGCTCATTAGCATATTTGGAAAAAGCATTTTTTAACGAATAATTTGGTACCACACACTTGGTATTTCGAGTTAAATTGTCGTTATGAACTGCATGTTACAATTTCAAATAAACCATATGGGAAATGTCAAAAGTTGATGTATGATATGTCATTCTATTCAGAGTGTCATTTTCTATCGAATAAAGTAGAAAAATATCGAGGATGTCATTTAAAAATAAAAAGTTGTAGTCATTTCCGGTGAAACAGGAAGCGACCGAAAACAACTGAATAAGTCAATGAATCCTAATTTATTCCATACATTGACATACCAAATCTCGTTTTTTTATCTGAAAAAATAAAAAAGTTATAGGTGTGAACCACTTTCGAGACACACCCGGTATATTAGTTATTTATTAAAAAAAGCTTATCAACAAAAATAAAGTCCTTCTTAGTATTTTCTTCAATGGATTTGTCGTTTTAAGTCATTTAAATCAAAACCAAACAAACTTGAATTTTTTTAGGTTATGGCAGTGGCTAATACCAAAAACTAAAGAAAATCGGATTAAACGAGTTATTAAAGAAAAAGCTCAAATCTCTCCCACTACCGAAGCTGCAAAATGTAACAAAAAAATATTTTATATATTCAAGAGAAAACAAAATATCAAATCTGTTGGAGGACAAGAACCCAGTACCAAAGAAGTGGAAGTAGTCTACAATACGAAACTATAGAAATAGATTGTATTTTTTTAATCACATAAGAAAGTATATAGTCTGTCCAACGGGAGGAACCCTGGCAGTGACAGTTGTGTCTGTTATTTTAATTAACAGGCAAACAGGAATTTCGTGTCATTTTTTGAATGTCGTCTGTAAAAATCTTCTCTGACTCGTTGGACAGATTATACAACCAACGTTACAAGACATTAAGTCACGTCCTAATAACGTTGATTCTGTATTTTTGCTAGTTTATTTTCAACCCTCAACATTGTTAATATATGGTCGAAAATAAATGAATTGTACAATAAAATTACCTTGATTTATTTCGTCTACGCATCTGAATGGCACTGGTGTTAATTCTTGTAAGGCTAACATGAACACTGCCGTGGCCACTGCTCTTTCACCGCCACTCTGAACTGTGGCATTCAATTCCTGCAGTGGCTCACCATTTCTATATGTCACCTGTAATCATAGATAAAGGAAGCAAGTTCAGACTGGAATGCTCGGCTTGCCGCCAAAAACATAATTGTTTTGGAGCGCATACGTTGTAGGGCGCTGCCCTATAAGAAGACTAAGGAAGGAGCATATCAAAAATCTTAGGTCCACCGCGATGAGCCTCAAATATGGCCGACTTAAATTCCGGTTTATCAGTGCCGTTCTAATTTTATTTAAAAAAAATGTAAAACTATGATGTAGCGTAGACGTGGGGTAGACTCAATAATTTGTTAGTTTATTTTACGTTGTGAATAAATGTTGGCAGTTATTAAAATTGTTATAAAAATATAAAATTCTAATAAAAATAGATAAGTTATAATAATTATTTATAACCATAAACATCCGATACGCTACTGAAGCAGGTAAGTCAAATTGACGTATCTAAATTCTTTGACAAGTCGTAAATAAAATCAAAAATGCAAAAAAAATATATAATTAGTTAATTTAAGTGAATTTCATAAATGATCGGTTTACTACACGTATGTAGATTATATAGTCACTTACTAGCGAAAAGTTGTTCCATTATTTCACTCGATTTTTGCCGAGATCTCCCGCACGCTACACAACCAACTATTTTAGAGTCTTTTTTGATAAATCGCCATAGTGTCACTGTTAAGTTAAGTTCTGCCACAATTTCCATCTAGATTTACTACCTTTATACAACTATCAGTAGTAGAATAAATAATAAATAACATAAAATAAGCTCCGTAAAGACTGACAAATCCACAAAATTTCAAATCAAAGTCAAATGTGTCAAATGAATCGTCAAACAGAACTGTCAAGGATCCCCACCCTAGAGTTCTTTACCCGCCCACCATGCATGAATACATGGATAGCATTATGCTGCTTCCTTAGTCTTCTTATTCAAAGACAAGAACAGAAATAATTTTCTCCTGTCAAAGTTAGAATCTTCAAAAATTATAAAATCTTTCAAAATTGAAACCGCACTCATTGAAAAAATACCGAAAAGTGTTTAAAGTGGGGAATGCAATCCCGCAAATGCGGGATCAACACATTACTACTAGATAACCGAATCGATCTCGATTAAGATCAAACCGCTTCGTTCCGGGCTGATGCGTCGACGCTCGGAACCCGGGGGATTCCCCTTACGGCTTGGCCATTAAAAATAAGTGAAACAAACAGGCTAGTTTTTAGATTTCTTTCTGGCGTATGTGCGTAAGTAAAGAAAAGCGTTTAACTAGTACTTGTGGACAATTTCGTCAAATAAATTGCCGAACATAATTATTGGAACATGCAAAATTTTAGGGTAAATTTAAAGTTGAATATCTCTTGAACTAAAAAAGATTTTGGGATGCGGTTTGGACCAGGTTTTAGATGAATCTATTGTGATTAAGATGCTGATGTGGTTTTCGAAAATATATTTAGCGAATTCTCGTATACAGGGTGTTTTATAAGAGTGTGAAAATTTGATCAAGACTCTTTTTTACCGCAAATTTACAATTTTTAAAAAAATCAAAATTTTTACCAAGTACGACGAATTTGCATTGATATTAGAAAAAAACAATTTGATCGGTTTTTTAGCAGATAACTAACACAAGTTAAAAAAAAACTTCAATCAGAATAATATTTTTATTTATAAAATAAGTACATAGATAAATTATAATAAAATTTAAGTTTATTTAATGTTAAATATATTTTTTGAACACCCTGTATACATCGGAGTTCAAATTTCTGTACAGCTAGTTTAAGATACACGCTCTATCAATATATTGTGGGCCTATGCAAAATGTACAATGCCTTTTGTATAGTCTATAAAATGAATAACTTTGAATTTTGACCGTTATTTTTTACCAATATGGCAAATATAAAATCCCTCTGTCAAAAAAGTTACTGATATTCTTTAAATTGAGTACCTGAACGAATCAGATAGGTAACTCTTTTTACTTTCATGAAATAGAAAAGGAAAATAATAAAACAAGTGACAGTTCTTCCTCTTCTTGCAAAAATCAACCCGAAATGTCATAATTCCAAAAGTAAAATGTCATCAGCGTTTGACATTTCTAAATATCAAACCAATGCCGTCTCTAATAGAACAGCCACGGAGCGAGATTTATGACGTCACGCTAATTAGATACTAAGGATTAATAAATATGTTGTAAAATACATGGAAAACATAATTATTCCTCGTATTTTTGGTTTGTATTTTAAAAATGATATAGTTTACATGAAATATATATAATATACAGTTAATAAATACAATATATATACCTCTTTATAGTAATAAATACTTTGGCAAATAAATTATAAACCATACAAATGCAGCAAATGTTTTACAATATACAAATAATGAATAGGTACGTAAGATAATGGGTAAAATGTAAAATATATTTTAAATTTTGGTGTTTGAAAATCGATCTAATTTAACAAAAAACATTCAATATCTACTAATAGTGATGTATTATTATTTGCATTCACAAAATTTATATGTATATTTTGCAAGTATCAATGTTCGAAAAATTATATTTGCAAATAATACAATATCATAGAAAAAAGGCGTCAGCGATGGCTATAAAATAAAGATCGCTGTCATTTTATATGTAAAATTATTCTAAAATTTTTGATTTTCTTGGGATTTAGGTTAGGATGGAGTACGATTTCAGCCATAGTCAATGTGGATAGTTAGTGTTAAGAATAATAATTTTAAAAAATAAACAAAATATTAAAAATAAACAAAAACAATAAATAATAATGAATTAATATTATTAAAAAAGTTATTAGAAAATATTAATAAATTTAAATAAATAATATTTGGCGACATAATTCCGGAAAAAGCCAAACCACTCCGAAATTATCAAAAGCTTTGGAGAGCGACCGTTGTAAGAGTAGCACCAAATATTGTATTCACATTAGTGATGCGCAAAACTGTTATTTTTAGATAACAGTTGAAACTGTTATAGTTATTTATAAAAAACAGCTTAAAATAACAGCTTAAAAATAACAGGTTTCTTTATTTTATTGCTAAATATCTGAAAGAGTATGAGACGGTCACCGCCAGGCGTATTAACGCAGTTGCAAGTTGCAACAATGACGTGCTCGGTGGTAGTATTTCCAGGGTGTCAAAACATTTCTGAATATCGATTGTTATCTAAAATACCTCTCTAAAAACGGTGGTTGTTTACAAATAAGCGCTGTTGCGACATATTGCGATATAAAAAAAGCCAAAATTCCGCCACTCGTCTATACCTACACATTGCGATCTACCTACGCCCTGCTCCTCGATACGCGTAGACCCTGAATTGCGTAGCAGTGTACAGGGTGCATCTCACTCGACGGGCGAGAAGCTCTTAGTTATGATTTTACCATTTGCGGTCAAAAAATAGCAATATAAGAAAATGTGTAGTATATTCTTCATAAGTAAACCAACTACACACTAGAGTTCGAATTAATTTTACACTTAAACTAGCGTGTACCCGCGACTTCGTTCGCATCGAATTAATAATTTCTAATGGTGATGACAAAGCAAAACAAGAATTTCCATTAACATACAAACTGGATAAAATTTTCTCACATTTGCCAAAAATAAGCTTTCTAACGTCGAGCAGTTTAAGCAGAATCGTGGTTAATCAATTACTCAACTTTTTGGAACGCCCTGTATGATTTAAAAAAAAAATCAAAATATGTAAAAAAAACCAAATAAATTATGCGTGTCCAGGCGTTTTCCCGAAAGACTAACCGTTTTTTAAATAACAAATATTGTAATATTTGAGGGGCGTTTTCACCCTGTTGGAATTTGAGATTCGAAAAACCCCTCCTTATCGAACCTCAACCCCACAGTCAATCCGTTTGCAAAAAATCAGCTTTAAACGTCCAGCAGTTTAAGCAGAATAGTGATTACTCAATGGTCATATTTTATGAAACACCCTGTATATATTTTTAAAAAATCTTAAAATGTGTAAAACAACATAATAAAATATACGTGTTTTAAGAGTTTTTCCGAAAAACTCACCGGTTTTAAATAAAAATATTCTAATATTTGAGAGTAGTTTCACCCCCTTAGAATTCGAGTTTCGAAAAATCCCTTCTTATCGAACCTCTACACATTAAAGTCAATCCGTTTTCCAAAAATCAGCTTTTACGTCAAGGGCTTTAAGCAGGATCGTGATTAATCATCAAATGACCAGATTTTTTCAAAACACCCTGTATACATTTTTAAAAAATCTTAAAATATTATTCTGAAAATTTTTCAGAATAAATAAATACCTAAATATTGAAACTTAATAAGTAAGTACTGAAACATACAGCGCCATAATATCTCGACCTCCGTCCGTTATGTTCGTAACAGGTTGAAACAGAATGTATCTAAAACAACTGATGCGTTATTCCCCAACCTGTTTCGAACCTCCATCGACAATCGACTGATGCAGCAGCTTTCCTTTCCCACACCGATTATCTCGACCGCCGCCCTGTTATGCTCGTAACAGGTTGAAAAACAACGTATCTAAAATGACTGCTTCTCCAACCCGTTGCGAGCCTCCATCGACAATCGACTGATGCAGCAGCGTTCCTTTCCCACTCCTGTTATCTCCACCGCCAGGCGTTATGCCCGCAACTGTTTCAAAAACCTGCTTCTTTTTATATCCTATTATTTTTAAGCTGTTGTAAATACGACAATCGACGGTATCGACCGAAGCAGCTACGTTCGCCGTAGCGCTTTCCCCCATCCGTTGTCCGTTGTCTCGCCGCCTGTATCGATGGTTGACGAAATAACATGTTTTCCATCCATACTAGTTGTTTTTGGAATTGCTTCGAGCAGCATAGAATTTCGTGGTGATGCAGAGCGCCGACTTCGTTTTTCGTATCGCGAGCGGCCGATCTCTACGTATCGTTATTTTATATCTGTTATTTTTTAGAAGTAGTAACGGCTGCGTTATGTTATTTATAAATAATTGTTATAAAATATCAGATAGTTAAATAACAACCCATCACTAATTCACATTGATTGTCCTTATGGGTGTTTTTTTTTTAAATAAAAAACACAGTATGGCGTATATTAAAAATTATTTTTACCGTCTTTGTTAGAATTTTATTTGATAAAATAATACCTTTATTGATAAGCTGTAATCGGCAAAGTTGCGTTCATCGTCTCCATGGGTTATGGAAATCTCCCCAGCACAGCCCATAAGTTCAAATGCCGTAGAAAACCGTTTACTTATGCCCGTAACTAGTTCACTCAAAGGATCTAACCATTCCTGTAAAAGAAACCTCAAATATTAGAGAAAATAATAAAATAATACGCAGAAAGAAAAAAATCGTGGGTGTTTGAGAAGGCTCGAAAGGAAACAATTTTTTGCGACGTTTCGCGACTTTATTGTCGCTTCTTCAGGCACTTCTTTCTTTCTGCGTACTAATTATTACTGGGAACTAACAATAATCATAATAATAAAATAATCTTCATCATGCTCTTCTGTCATAATATGACTGTATATTATGATGCAAAAAGAGGGACACAATAGATTTATAAATTCATACCTTTCTCTTGCGATCCATTTTGGCCTCGATCTTCTCGATTTCACTGGCCAGAGTTTCAGAGTCTTTGGCCATTGCATCAATGGCTTTACACCTGTTTTCGTATTCTTTAATTTCTCCGTCGTCTGCAGTGTTTAAACATGCGATTCTCGAATCGATGTTCTCTTTTTGGGCGTTCAATTCCTCCAGGTTACCTAAAGAAACATTTTAAGAACGAATATCATAGATTTTATAAACCTCGTGGATAAAGCTTTGCCTATATAGTAAAGACAACATTTTGATGTTTTAATTATAAATGTATAGTTTAAAGCTTGATACACTTGATATTAATTTTATTGGTTGAATTGAAAGACTTCCATTGGTTAGAAATTGAAAGACTTCCATTTTCATGCTTCCGTTCATCGGATATACGATTTGCTTGCAATTGGTGTCATTTTATATTTTCATTTCCATAACGATTGAGCTGTTTTTTAAAACTGATTCTTTAATATATCTTTTGCTATGCTCTCCTGAACAGAGTGTGGACCGTCTGACTGCCGGTAGACGTTGCGTTCACTACTGCACATCATATGTGTATTGAACATCTGTTCACTACTGCGCATCATAAATTCGTCCTGTATTTCAGGAACTAAGGAGGCTAGGACAAACCTATGTGTAGCATATTTAATTTCATAAAAATGTAGCACAGTAATGTGAAAATCGCATCATTGTATCTCTACTCCTAAACGAGAAATCCCATAAAACACACGAAAATGGGATACCCTGTACAGATGTGATGCGCAGTAGTGAACCGCAGTAGTCTACCGGTAGCCAGACGGCCCGCACTTTGACCAGGAGAGAATAGAAAAAGATATATTAAAGAACCAACAATAAAGTAATTCTATAAGGGTTCCGTTTTTTCCTTTACGGTACGGAACCCTAAAAATAACTAAAACGATTGTCACTGTGACATAACTTACTTGACAGTTGATCGTACATGTCCCTGAATTTATCGAAGCCGTCATCGGCAGGTGTCAGGCCATCTGACAGTTCTTTGGCTTTCAAAAGTTGAGCTTTGGCCTCCTGCATAACCCCACTGTATCTGTCCGCTATGGCGTTGTACAGTTCTTCAGCTTCTCTAAGGCGTCTAAAAACAAGAATCAACAAAGGCAAAGTGAGGTTATAGTTCGTTTTTGGATTAATAATATAAAGGGTGTCTCTTAAAAAAGTACAAGTATTTTAAATTTAAAAAATTGTTAAAAATTTTACATTTTTCATGACATTTTTCTGGAAATTAAAAAACTTTTGAGTGCCGCAAGACATTTCCCTGTAATTTATTGACGGTTTATCGTAGACTTGCAATGTTGCCATATATTTGTGTGTTTATACAAGGTCTCCCAGAAATAAGAAGATATTTTAACGGGTGGTAGATCTCCACAAAAGAAATATATTTTCTCTTTACCATTTTTCAAATAAGTTCGAAATAACCGACTTATTTTACTTTGAAAAACGATTTTTTACTTAAATTTTGAGAACCACTGGATCTTTTCTGGGTCTTCTTTCTTGTAAATTTAATCTACTACCTATGTTGCCATATTATCAAGAAATAATGCTGTTTAATTAAAAACTAAAAATTTTTCCAAAAATGTTTTCAAAAAATTCCAAATTTTCAATTTTTTTCTTGCGAAAAAACATCTCAGGCGTGTTTCTGAGGTCGAAATACACTACCAGTTAAAATATCTGTACTTATTTCTGATACCTCCTGTATAAGTTTAACAGTGATGATTTAATCTTCTACACAATAAATAAAAAAAATAATTTTAATTATATCAGTGGCATTAATGATAATAATTGAAAAATTCACTGTACTTATTTTTTAACACACACCAATACGTTTTTTACAGTTAATTTCAACTAAGCTGGAAGAATAAATCTTATAATTATTACAAATTCTCTTATCGACATATTACGAAGTATTTTCAAACAAATGTATACTTTCTTGCCTATGTGGCAACACAGGGTATCAATTAAGCGTTTGAATCGGCGGTTCTCAAAATGTTAGCATTCTTTTTTTTTAATTTTCAAAGTTAAATATAACTCAGTTATTTTCAATTTAATTTAAAAATTGTGCATTAGAAAATATGTTTGTTTTCTTTAGGGCATCTTAAAACACTTTAATGCACTTATTTAAGAGACATCCTGTATTTCTTCTCTTAGAGTAATACAGGGTGATTCTTTAACTTAATACTTAAGAATAAATCCGTTAATTCAAAGATAATTCTTTTTTTTTTAGAAATATCCTCATGGCATGTCGATTAGTGTTTTAAATTACGCTCTTTACGCAATAAAAAGAGAACCATCCTGTATATATGATAAGAGTATACAGGGTGACAAACTTACCCCTTCTTTTCAGCCATATCATTCTCGACACACTCGATTTTTTCCCTCAGCCATTCTATCTTCAAGGAATTCACACTGCTCAATACAACCAAGTTTTTCAGTTCCACCAATTGGTTCTTTAAGGTACCTTGTACCAGCACAAGTCCTTCAACCAATTTTTGCAGTTTGTTCCTACCTTCCTGTCTGATGATTTCCGGATTTTTATTGGTGTTCCTCATCGAATTCAAATTCTGTTGAGCCTCCAAGATCCGATTTTTGATCAACTAAAAAAAAAAGAACAAAATTATATACATCTGGGGTATCACAGAGATCGAAATAAGTTTATGTAAACATAGAGCCGCTCTAATACATACAGGGTGTCCCAGAAATAAATGTATTTAAAAGGGTGGGAGATCTGGCCAAAAGAAACATATTTTCTCTTTACCGTTTTAACTTTGAAAATTTAAAAAAATAATGGCAACATTTTGAGAGCCGCCGGCAGCAATCGATAATCAGACAAAAATACCAAGCGATTATATAAAAATTGTAAAAATTATACAGATCATACTGTGAATAGTTCTGACTGACAACGAAACGCATTAGCAAGCAAGGGGGATGTCAATGTTAGGCGGGAACTATTGTGAACTAAACACCTAGTTCAAGGAACTATTCCTCTGGAGGAACTAGAACTAAGGAACTAGTTCCTCCCAAGGAACTAGAATTCCCACCTCTATTGCATTATACTTAATAGTAATCTACAATAATTAGAAAATCTACAAGAAATAAACTTAATTTAAGTATTCTTTTTTGTCGAAATTTAAAATGATCAACTTATAAACATACAGAATGTGAATAATGTAGGAGGTGGCAACATTGCATTCTCTCGAAGCACTATAAACAAAACAAGCGGCTCTCAAAAGTTTTTCAATATTTTCCGGAAAATATCAAGAAAAATATAAAAAAAAATTTCGCAAAAAAACCTCATGAGCGTGTTTCTGGGGTCGAACTAAACTGCCCGTCAAATTAAATACCACAGCGATTTTTTTACTAACTTTCAACGAGTTGTGACTTTGAAAAAAATGGACCAGTTTTGTTGATTTTTTTAGCATGTTAAAGATCGGTTTTCGTAAATTGATCTGATTTTTCTAAATTTTGTATGAGATTTAGTTTTCTATGATAAACAGGGTGTGAAAAAAAGGAATGTAATTTTTGTGTTGCTGCTATTTTGCCAAAAAACAAAATTTAACTAGAATTATAAGTTCTGGGTATAGCTAAGACTAATATCTCGGGACGTATTTGGAATTTTTACGATCTGGAATAAAAGATCTAACAAAACTGAAATTAACTTTAAAATTGTAGGATATTCGTTACTTTTACAATGTGAAATTAAAAAAAACTACTAAGTTGCAGCTAAACTACAGATTTTTAGACACAAAAAGTTTTTACAAAAATATCAAATACGTGTCGAGCTTTTATATTAACCTTATGGGCTGTTAAGTTCAAAATATTAAAAAAATAATTTTACTTTTTCGCTGGTCGTATTTTTAAGAGATCCTGTATTAGTTAAATCATTTTTTTTTAATTTCACATTGTAAAAGTAACGAATATCCTACAATTTTAAAGTTAATTTCAGTTTTGTTAGCATATCTCTTAAGAATGGTAGAAAAAATACAAGTTAGAGTAAAAATTGATTATCTTTTATTCCCGATGAGTTATCGTAAAAATTCCAAATACGTCCCGAGATATTAGTCTTAGCTATACACCCAGAACTTATAATTCTAGTTAAATTTTGTTTTTTAGCAAAATGGCAGCAACACAAAAATTACATTCCTTTTTTTCACACCCTGTTTATCATAGAAAACTAAATCTCATACAAAATTTAGAAAAATCAGATCAATCTACGAAAAACGATCTTTAATATGCTAAAAAATCAACGAAATTGGTCCATTTTTTTCAAAGTTACAACTCGTTGAAAATGAGTAAAAAAATCGCTGTGATATTTAATTTGACGGGCAGTTTATACTACCAGTTAAAATACTTGCACTTATTTTTCGGATACGCTGTACAAAGAAATATTTTAGAACTCCTCTATGTATACTTATTTCTATAAGATTACGTCAGCTTGCTGTTTCTGTTTTTGTATTTCCATCAGTTTTTCCCTATAAACTCGACCTTTTTCATCCAACTTTATAATTTGAGCGTCCGCATTCTCGACCTGCGTGCGCAGCTCTTGAATTCTTCGTTCCATATCTACACAGCGGCCTAAAAAACAAAATTAACCAAAAATATAAATAGGAAAAATAAAAATTAACTATTTTTATTGGTTTTTTTTATTTTACCTTTAATGTTTTCAAGCCGTACGATATCTAGAGATAAGGAAAATCCTCCGTCCCCGCTGATCCCGTTTTGACTGGTACTCTTTTCTTCTGTATACTTGGAAAATGATATTTTATACCTAAAAATCGTTTTATACAGAGTTGCGGGTTGCGGATATGTACTATATTATCCACAGTTTAACAATTCAAAATCAAAACTTCATAATTTGGAAATTGTTAAATCATAATACACATAATGTTACCTAAATTACACAATTTCCGAATTATGAAGTTTTGATTTTGAAATGTTAAACGAAAATTTTGTAATTTCCAGTCTTTTATATTTAATTTTTGGGGTACCTCGTATATTTTACCTAATAATCGACCGTTCCCATACATATCAACGACCCTGTATATCAATCATTCTCTACACGAAATATATACAGGGTGTGTCTTAAATAAGTGCAAGTATTTTATGGGGCGGCGTGGCGTGTAGATCCGGACAAAAGAAACATGTTTTTTTTTTATTTTTTTATTGCCATTTTTAATAACAGAATGAAAATAACAGAATTATTTAATTTTGAATTTTTAAAAAAATAATGCTTACATTTTGAGAGCCGTCGGCATCTCGACATAGAGCTTGTTCGACGCGCTGTGTTGCCACATGGTCAAGAAGGTAAGTATAATTTGATTGTGTGTATAAAATGTATTTTACTGTTTTTTTTTTACTTTTTAATATGGCAATATAAAAATATGCAAAAATTGTTCACATATACTACTAAGGGCTGGCAAAGGTTAGTCTTGGATCGAGATTTCCGTATGTAAGAACAGTACAATGCGTTTATAATGTACTAAACAAAGAGAGAACAGTAAACACGTTGCCAAACGTATGAAATAAACCGAGAAACTGTGCACATCGCTAAGAGACGTGGAAGGGGATACAGCAGATTTGTCGCAGTTGACCGGTCGACCCAATCAATACCTCTGTCAGTACTTAAAGTTCTAGGGAAAGGTGTACGTCATGCGTTCAGCTTCACGATTTAATTACGTCTCGTGATACTTAATTTGTTTATTTATTAACGAGTCGTTGTAATTTTCTCTATAGCTTGAATTTTTTAAGTGCAAGCTAGAAAACACTTGCATTTTTGGTAAAAATAAGTGGAATTGAGTGGGTGTTCGATAGTGGTCGCGCTATTAGAACTCTGAATTCAAAAATCGATATCTCGAAATCTATTAGAAATAATAGATTGTAGTTTTTTCAAGAACTTTGTTAATATTTCTGCAGTATTTTCTTTGTAGACAGTATGTGAAAATCTTTATCAATAAAAAAATTACACGATTGCTGAAAATTGCTATTCTCTAAAAGTAAATGGATGGATTGTTTACAATTTTTAAATGGAAAAAACAACCTTATCGAATTTTTCTTATGTAAACATATTTTAAAATATCCGATCTTAAAAATGAAAAGTTTTAAATTATCGCGATTACTGACGTTTTCTCGTTATAACAAATATAACACCCTAACGATATCCTTATATTTCCATTTCAGATGCTCAGAAACATGTCTAATGATTTTATCTAGTTATCTCTTGAAAAAGTTAACAACATGATTTAATGGAACCAAAGGTCTGAAACAAGGGTGCTGTATTTCACCAACACTGTTCAAGATATATCTCGAACAAGTTCTCAAAGGTTGGAAGCAAAGATGTAGAAATATGGGAGTACCCATATGGGATAACATGCTCTACACACTTTGCTTCGCGGACGATCAGGTGATCATAGCACAAGATTACGATGACATGTAAGCTTATAGAAGAATATCAGAAATGGGGACTCGAGATCAATACTAACAAAACAGAATATATGTGTATCGGAGGAGAACAACAAGATCTAATGCTAGAAGAAGGGAAGAAAATTTAGTGCTGCACAAAATACAAATATTTGGGTATGCAAATCACAAATGATGGACTGTTGGATACAGCAATTAAAGAACGAAACCAACTTGGAAGGAATACTATCACGGTATTGAATGGAATACTGTGGGACAGAAGCATAAACAACAAGAACAAAACTTTAATATACAATACCATCATAAAGAGTATAACCACGTTCAGCTGTGAAGTCTGGCCAATTAAGGAAACAACAAAACGAATGCTGGAAGCTACAGAGATGGATTTTTGGAGAAGATCAGCAGGCAAATCAAGACTCGAGCGAATAACTAATGAACGCATAAGAGAGATTATGGAAGTTAAACATACGATACTGGACGACATAAAGAACAGTCAACTCATATGGTACGGGCATGTCCAAAGAATGGCAGAAATAAGAATCCCAAAGCAAATTATAAACTGAAAACCTGCAGGAAGAAGAAAACCGGGTAGACCGAGAAGAAGTTGGCAGGAAGGGATTGACACGTTTATGGAGGAAAGATCTCTCGGAGACGGTGCATGGAGAATGGAGAGACAGACAGGCATGGAGAGATAGCATCGGAAGACGTAGAACGTTTTAAACTGATTAATATATATATATATATATATATATATATATATATCTTGAAAAAAAGTCTTTTAAAAATAATCGTGATTTTACTTTACTTGATAGGGAAAGGCGTATCGGCAACGCCGCAACAGCACACAGTCGCGCGTCGCGTCGGTCGGTCTGTCGCATTTCTCTCACTCCGACTTAATAAGATCCCTATGCGATTTACTTCCACACATGTAAATGCCGACCCAAAAGTAACAGTTGCCAGCACGGTATACAAATACATGACATATACTATATACCAGTTAAAAATACCTGCATTTATTTAAGTAACACCCTGTATACAAACTGAGTGAAAATTAGATGTTCTATTTTTCCTAAAAATTTCAAAATTGAACTCTTATAAATAAATTATACATTTTTTCTAAATATCGTATTATCGTTGTTTTATTATTTATCTTATTTATTAACTCCACAAAGCTTGAAAAATTCATAATACCTAAATTTATCACTGAAAAATACGGTCAACTGCTTAGGTACTTGCTCATAGCAAGCATTAGTACTGTGGTCTCCTACAGGAATGTTATGCAACCGATACGTTTGACACAAATAATGCACTATAGGCTCAGGAGCAGTAAACAGCATATTTACATAGGTATAGAACCCGTATTTTCTCAGATGTTCTATGGGAATGTTAGATTGATAACTGGCATTGGATTGAGGATCTAAAAAAAAATTAAAATAAATTTAATTATTTTTCATGTATTCTGTAAATTTTTCTATGACTCACCGGAATGTAGAACATTCACTGACAACCCCTGTTGCTCTCTCAAGCATTTAATCAAAAGGTTCATGTCGTTCTTATTAGTACAAGTAAATGCCACTTTGTCTCTCAAGAGAATCATGGATTCCACGTATTTAGCCTGATTTGTATCCAGGATATTCAGTTCCAATAATATAGGCTCGAATATTTCACCTGAGAGTAACAAATAGATAAGTTAGAGCCTCAGAGCAACGAATAAAATAGAATAGCCACAACAAAAATTGTAAAATGTGATTTCAGACTTCTAAAATTCGTTATTATTCATTCAGTATTCAATAGTGTTTATTTTGTTAGACAGGGTGTTTAAATGTCGAAGAAAATTGACATTCAGTCAAATAAAAAATGAAGTAAAATAAAAATATATAAAAAATACTTACTTTGAAAAAGGTGTTTGTTATTTCTTAACCATAAAACAGCTCTATAAGCGTCTTCATTGGTTCTTCTTAGCTATAAAAACGCGTTATAACAAAAAAAAAGTATTTAAAATTAATCTTTATAACAATTAAATTTAAAATAATAATAATAAACCTTGTTAATAAATCTTTATTGATTCAAAAACATTTAGAAAAACAATATATTATAAAGGCATACCTGTTCCAGCCTGGCTTGCTTGACATTCTGTATTCTGTCATACTCATTCTTTAATACACCGAGTTCAGCTTTTAGTTCAGACATATCTTGTTCTGTTTGTTCTTTTTTAGCCCTCAATTGTCTTGTTAAGGTAGTACAAGTGTTAATTTCCTTTGAGGCAATTAATTTTTCACTGTCTCCTAAACACCAATAAGAATATTTTTGATAACCTAAATTGTAGAGTTTGTTCCAAAAGTTTACTAAAGAATGTTTTTTTTTTGAAGTCCCTGTATATTATCTTTGTTTTAGATGCAGAATTAAAAATCAAACATTTTTTGTATTTAAAGTATACCTAAATTTTTAACGAATTCGCAGATATTTGTGGTATTATATTACAAATACACCAAACATTTTTTAAATTTCCCGCCATAATACATATGACGTGACATACGTCAAAATCATATATCTAATTTTTTATTCGTTGTACACTTTTTCGGACACACTGTATTTATTTTTGAGCAATAAAAAAACGGTTAATATAAAAAAAATCAAATTCAGGAAGGACCTTGTTTAATTTTTATCAGCACACTGTCTTGTAATTTCTTCATGTCCTCTAATTTTGTCACTGCTATTTCAATTTGATGATTCCATTGGTCAATCTCGGACAATTTAATTCTGATTTCGTCTTCAATTTCGCGAATTTTTGACGAGAATTTGTCGATTTTTTCACTAGTAAGATCGATATTTTCTTCCTTGTTTCTGTAAGAAAATATACCAGTATTATTTAACTATAGTTTGTTAATATAAAACTTACCTTATATTGTGAGTAGTCTTGGAGTTTACTTGTAAAAATTCTGTATATTTCTGTTTGAATTGATTAATTACCATCTCCATAGGTTTCATTTCGTTCCTAAAACATCATTCAATTCATTTTTAAAAACTATATATTTTATAAAAATATAATATTTGTACTTATGTTGTTGCAGAACTTCATTTGCTTTGGATTTATCATTTTTTAATTCACCCAATTGTGCTCTTTTTTCTTCATAGATTGTCCAAGCAATCTTTCTGTCAACATGTTTAATTCTTTCTAAAATATTATATAAACCAGGTGACAAAAATTCAAAACATAATAAATAAAAATTCATATTTTTCATTAAAAACAATTGAATATCACTTCCAGAATTAACCTCAAGTGAGTCTAATTTTTTTTAAATATTATTATAATAAATACCTTTATATTCACACATTTTATTAAAACTTATTACTTTTCCTTCGAGTCTTGAGTTTGCATCAGCAGCATCTTGAAGTTTTGATGAAATATCTTTACTTCTTTTTAACAAATTACTGTGTAGCTCTTTAATCTTAATCAGAGAATTCTGTTTATCAATTAAATCATCTCTGCATAAAGCTAACTGTTTAAATAAAAACACAACTTATATTATTAATACTGAAATTCGAAATTATAATTTTATAATAACCTGTGTCTGTTTTAAAAGGTCTTTTTTGTTAAGTTTTGCAAAGTCAGCTACCCGATCCTGTGGTAAAAATTGACAAAGGTTGTCTACCTATAAAGGAAATTATTAAACTAATTTTAAAACTCTAGCCGAGGATCTCACTTGGATGTTAAACTCTTTTGTACGAGCCAGGACATCATTAAATGAGCACTGACGATTGTTGATTTTCCAAGAGGTTTTATCACTTGTATCAAATTCCCTCGTGATTTGCAAATAACTATTTTCCTGTCCTTGCTGGAGGTAAACATTGATTACGCTAAACTCACAGCCATGTTTTACATATTCTGAGATTCTGTTGAATAAAAAAAAAACAATTATACCAACAAACCCTCATTGCTTCATTATTTTCCTACCTTGTGCCTCTCCCAACTACTTTAGGGCTACCTCCAAGACCTAAAATGATAGCTGCCACCATGGTAGATTTTCCTGTACCGTTAGGTCCAACTATCATGTTTAAATGGGGCCCAGGATATAATTCTGCATAGTCGTAGGTCACGAAGTTGCGCACGTTAATTTTTCGTATAAAACCAGGTTTAAACATTTTAAAAAACTCTAAATTTTGTGTTAAAATTGAATGTCAGATACTTTAAACTTATTTTACATAAAAGTTGTTGTTGCTTGATTGATATTCAGTAATGTATCCCCGAACAATCAGGAATAGTTTTTAAAAATACTTTATTGTATTAAAATTTGAATTAAAAAACATTTCTTGTTTGATTACTAAACAATTTCAAAATATTATAACGATTCTAACCTCACAAAATTTTCCCGGACTTTTCGAAATCATTAAATCAAAACTAAGGCAACCACATATACACAACAATAATACCGGGTATTTACAGGTTTTAAAATCTTATTTGGTTTAATTCCAGACAAATAATCTTGTTTTATGTTCGATTTAGTTATTCTCATTTTTATTTCTCATATTTAAGTTATATAAAACCAAGTTATCACAGATTTTAATTTTAATGTATATCTAGTTGCCTGACATCAGCGATAACAGTACAAAATAAATACTTTGTAAATGTGTATTTCAAAAATATGAATTAATTCCAACTAATTAAAGTTAAAAATGTAAATAATTTAAGACTGATTTTATTTTTTGAGAGAATAAGCACACTCTAAATCAAAATATATCATAAAAAATAGTATTCTCTCAATATAAAAAAATATAAATAATGTAACTAAAATATAAATGTTATTTCTTGACCTTCTACGACACTGTTTTCTTTTAAATATCTCTTGGGGATATTATTATATAAAATAATAGGTTTATGTACTCTATTAAAAACAAACACCACCTTTTTGAGGCGTTTCATGTTCTAAACTGATTAATAATAAATATGTTGAATTTTAATAACATATGCGAATATGAACACCTCAAATCTGTCATTACCAACATTTATATAAAGGCTTTTACGGAAAGGAACTTACATTCTTTGAGAGTTTGTACAAGATAAATAGAACAATTCTTTAAATATAAATTTATTTTTCATTCCTTTATAAAAATAACTTATATTTGCCTATTTTTATGTTATATTTTTTTTATTGATATATGTCACGAGTTTAGATATGTTATATAATTTATAAACATTGTATTTTCGGGTGACAAAATTATTCATACTTATTACATGTTTTTTTATGTAATATTATATTAGTTAAATTATTGAAAAACGTACATTTTCTTTACCAATAATGAAAGTTACTCCTAACAACGACGCTTTTGTTAAAACCCTAAAGTGGCTGATGATTTTTGCTGGATTTTGGAAATTACCTTTATCAAAAAACCCAATATTGAACAAAATATACTTAATTTATTCAGACGGAAGCAAAGTGTACATGTTTCTATTCATAATTTTGCTGATTATGGAACTATTCAGGCTGATTAAAGACCAAGAAAGCTCCCAAGTGATTATAACAAGTTTCAGTCTTGTGGTTACCTGTATTTTGATAGCTGTTAAAACTTATATTATCATAAAAAGGAATTTGGTTGATCTGATCCCAGAAATCATGGAAAAAGAAGAAGAAATATGGAACTGTGATGACGAAGAAGTTAAGGGTATTTTTAAAGGCAAGGTATTTTTTTGTAATGTTTTATGCACAGGTTTAACTATGGTTCAAGTTGTTTGTCTGGCATCTATGTCATCTATGGGTAAGTATAGACCATATTACTTTATCTAGATGAATCTTACAATGTATTTCAGCTTTTACTGGCAATCAGGAATTGATAGAATACAACAGAGCTCATAATACGTCTATAGATACCTACTATTGGTACCAATTATGGTTTCCTGGTACCAAATTGGACCATCTAGCCTGGGTGTACACTTTAAATGGTTGTTTTGGATGGGTGGCATGTTCTAATAGCATGGTGTGTCATTCTCTGTTGGCCACACTCATGATTTTTGCCACTACAAAAATGGAGATCTTGTGTGCTATATTGAGAAAGTGTGTCAAAGGAGAGGATGATGTGTTTTTGGACAGGAATATGGTAGAGTTGAAGAAATGTGTGGTTGAGCATCAGAATATTATTGAGTACGTATCAAAAAAGAAGAATAAATTTTTTTATTGATATTTTTATTAATTCGTTAAGTCTTTCATTTTTTTCTGCATACTTTTGAGAACATCTTTTCTAAGAATTTGCACATTTTTCTACATTTTTCTTTAGTACCTTGCGTTTTGTCATTTGCTTTTGTATTTTTACAGATATGTAACAAGACTAAATAAAAGTATAAGCATTATTCTCTTGATGCATTTTCTTCTAAATTCTTTTGAGATTTCTTCTTGTGTCACGGCATACCTTAAGGTACTGTATATAATCATCCATACAATCTAGAATTAGATAGCTCCTTTGAATAAGAAGACTAAGGAAGGAGCATATCAAAAATCTTAGGTACACCGCGATGGGCCTCAAATATGGCCGACTTAAATTCCGGTTTATCAGTGTCGTTCTAATTTTATTTAAAAAATGTAAAACTATGATGTAGGGTAGACGTGGGGTAGACTCAATAATTTGTTGTTTTATTTTACGTTGTGAATAAATGTTGGTAGTTATTAAAATTGTTATAAAAATATATAATTCTAATAAAAATAGATAAGTTATAATAAGTATTTATTAACACAAACATCCGATACGCTACTGAAGCAGGTAAGTCAAATTAACGTATCTAAATTCTTTGACATCTAATTTTTGACAAGTAATAAATAAAAGCTAAAATGCAAGAAAAATATATAATTTAGTTAATTTAAGTGAATTTCATAAATGATCGGTTTACTACACGTATGTATATTATATAGTCACTTACTAGCGAAAAGTTGTTCCATTATTTCACTCAATTTTTGCCGAGATCTACCGCACGCTACACAACCAACTATTTTAGAGTCTTTTTCGATAAATCGCGATAGTGTCACTGTTAATTTAAGTTCTGCCATAATTTCCATCTAGATTTACTACCTTTATACAACTATCAGTAGTAGAATAAATAATAAATAACATAAAATAATAGAGAGCTTTTATGGTGGCTTTTCCGCCCACCATGCATGAATACATGGATAGCATTATGCTCCTTCCTTAGTCTTCTTATTCAAAGGATAGCTCCTAGCTTAGATCTATACATGGCGTCTCAGAAATAAGTGCAGATATTTTAAGAATTCTAGATCTGGATTCTAGATCTTTTAAAATTAATGTTTACATTTTGAGAACCGCCGATTCAAATGGCAATCTGTCATCTCTCAGTTTATTTGACGTCCTGTGTTGCCACATCGACAAGAAGTATACACTTAACTTGAATAAAAAAAACTTTTTGTTATGGCTATACGAGAATCTGCAATAAATGTTAAGATTTCTTCTTAACATAAATTAGTTGAAAATAACCGTAAAAATGTATTAGGGTGTGTTAAAAAATGTCAAGAAAAATGTAAACTATTTTATTGTGTAACTACAGAACCAGTGAAAGAAAATACTTCTATTTATTTGAGAGACACCCTATATAGTTGATTTATTCTCTCACTTTTTTTTATTGTTACTTTAAGAATATATAATATAAATAATCTTGAAAAATGCGATATAAGTTGTATAATCATCAGTTTTCAAATGTTTTAGGGCTCTGTACCCATGCTTCAACAAATATTTTTAGCCTCCTATGTTACTCTAACCCTCTATCAAATCCTGATGGCCTCATGGAATGCAAACGAGATTCAATATCAGGTAAGTAGTAAATACCGTATGATCGAAAAAAACGGCGTCAAAGACGGCTGGGGAATGACAGTCAATGATAATTTTGGCGAGGTCATTTACGTGATAACACAGAATATTCTTTCAGAGCACTAGAATTGCTGATGCTTTTTATGAATGCAATTGGCTTCTACTAAATAAAGACGGCAAAACTATATGCCTGATATCAGCACAAAGGGCTCAAAAACCTTTATCGGCCACCCTTGGTCCTTTTGGAGCTATGACAAATCAGTCAGGACTATTGGTAAGATATCATATACCTTCGTTAAAATTAACAAAACTTATAAAGTTCACAGTACACAGATCCAAAGTCTTTTTGTACAGAGCCTTAATATCACCGACTATGAATAGATAGAGATGAAAATCAACTATTATAGTTACTATTTTGTATATTTTTCAGGTTATAAAGGCTGCGTATTCTTATGTCAGCGTAATGAATACTGGACCAGTTTAAAATCTATAAAGAATAATTTAAATCAAGAAAAATCACTGTTCACGCTTTGTATTCGTTTAAAAATAATTCAAAGAACACAAAATAAAAGCACGATGATCATATATACGAGTTTCATTCGAAAATTTCAATAATTCATTCAAAAGTTTTAAAAATAAAATTTTTAGCTCCATGGTATATACTACAGATATTAGCCGAATACTTATTGACCTCCCCCCATAGCTTAAACTTAAATATAGTTCACATGAAATAAACTTTCAGTCACGTGCAGTGGCGTAGCTAGGTAACCAAGGGCCCTGGGGCAAATTAAAAAATGGGGCCCCACTCGTATGTAAACTGCATGATTGGGTTTTATCAAATAAAAATATGAAATTTATAAATACTTTAAAAATGCTAAGCTACTTAAGCTCATTTTTGTGCAGTGCAGGGCAGGTAATAAATATTAAACAGTAACAACATAAATTACAATTAATACCGTATGATCGAATAAAAACGGCGTCAGCGATGGCTATGAAATGAAGATCGCTGTCATTTTATATGTAAAATTGTATAGGAAATGTCATCGATCGTCATTTCCAAGCCAACTGGACGCCGTTTTTTTTCGATCATACGGTACTTGGCAGGTGGATGACACTTCTTATGGGAGAACTGGCAATGGTTGAAAACTTGACTACAAGCGATTTTCTAGGAATCTTCCTTACCGATAAATTATTGACAAGAGTGACAGATAAAACCTTGACGTTCTTTCAGTATTTCAGTTCATCTCTTTTTCTTTCTAAAGTGTGCGTTGAAAGGACACAAAAACAATTTTTGGTGACCCATAATTTGTTATTCGAACACCCCTTTTCTCCTTGTCGGGTCGTTGACTTTGACTTGTCGCCATTTCATTTCTTTTGTTTACACGCTGCATTTTGCTTTGCAAATTTAATACATAAATTATTTAGGCAAATATAGGTTTTTAATAAAACTCCTCGGACTAACGTGTAGGTAAGTGTTGATAATTTTTTTTTCTCTTAACATGCTCATTGTCGTTCTCCTGATTTTAGGTGACAGAAAAGGATCATCAAATCAAATTGAATTTTATATTTTCCTTCCTATTTATCCTTCCTAAATATCAACGAGATGAGCCATCGGAAGAAAGGGACCATAGTACAAAACAGAAAGGTGATCTTTTTTCTTTCCACTTAGGATATTGAAATTATTATATACTGTAGTCGTGTTCGGCATTATGCTCTGAGAAATATAGATAAACAAAGAACAACAGATATAAAGCATCCCAGAGGAAAAGAGACTCAATACCTGTATGTACTCTCTCTGATATTTATGAACGTTACAGCAAAGTATTGTTGTAAATGTCATCTTTTTGATCGACCTGAAAACTTGTAGCAAAAAGATGACACTTTCAACAATACCCTGACAGATATCAGAGACGATACAGGTTTTTCCTCTCTTTTCCCCTGGAATACTTTTAATTTATTATTCTTTGTTTATCTAGATTTCTCAGAGCACTATGAACGAACTCAGCTTGTATGTTTGAAACAATCGTCCAGTTGGCTTAAAAATGATGATCGTAGACATTTCCCATATAATTTTACTTTCAAAATTATGATATATCTTTTATTTCTAAGCCATCTATGACGCCATTTTTTTCAGTTTTGTTATAATTAATTTTGTCTGTTGATCTACTTGTAACATTATTCTTTTAATTTTATTAATTTATTGTGGTGAAATTAATTTCTGTTGTATATTTGATGTTGATATTAAACATATTTTTTAAAAAATGGTGTATTTTGTGTTTTTGTGTATGTCATAATTAAAATAAATGAAGAAATAAAATTTTTTATTTTTTTAAACTTCCCGCCATGCGTGACAATTTAGTCCGTAGTTCCTACAAGCGAAATTGGGGGCGCTAGTAGCAGTAGACTTGTCAACAGTGTCAAATTTAAACGTCAATTTCACTTTCCAATATTTAGCAAGGCGCTCGCACTTCTTCTTGTGTATGTGTTTTGTGGTACTTGGTATAGGTTTGGCAAAATACCTATACCACGGCCTCCCCATAAGAGCAATGAGAGGATTTACGTCCCAGCATTGAAGGAGGACAGAAAATCGAGTCGAATGGTTTCAAGACATAGGTTCATCCTTGTTTAGTCAAACCTCCTACCACACAAGGATAGACTTATGTAGGAAATGCATTGAAATTCTATAGCCATTCTTTAACATCAGGACAGGAATTTAAGCGGTACCCTCCGTATAGGTAATTTGGGTTCGACCATTCTGGTTTTTAATAAAAGTTGTCATATTAAACTATTTTCTAGTGGTTTTTACAACGTATCCTATAACGCATTAAACGATAATTTCTTTTAGTATGATATTACACTTAAGGCAATGCTATATGAAACAAACATATTATTTTATTAGATTCTTATACCCACCATGTAAGAGTTCTATAATATTCATATAACTAGTAGTCACAAGATCATATAATAGTTACTTAAACTTGTGTTATTAAAGTTGTATTACGTTGTACGATATTGCGTTAAACAACGGTGCTGTATACAACACTAGTTATATAGCCTTATATGATAAAATTGTGATTAACAAAATAAATTCGCTGTAATATCTGCATTATAAAACTGGTAATGTATAATATAACCTCATTTTAAATTAAATTGTATACCTAGTTATTTATTTTGTTATTGTTGTTGTTGCAAAAGTAATATATACGTACGAGTATAATCAATCACAGCTATTATGAATTCTGGACAAAGTTGGAAAAAAGTTAACAAACGCAGTGGTAACAAACGGTATAAAGAGCATGTAAGAAAAAACTCATCGAAATTACGGCAAATAATCCCGAGAATTCCCTGGGTTCCCAAAAGCTAAAATCTCTCGGATTGTCTGGCTTCTTCAAAGCATGCCACGTTGATGTAAAAGTTTTACTGTAGTAATGTTTGTATTGTTTTATTGTTGTTTTTCCAAGTCCTTAGGTTGCCGCTCACTCGTCGGGCATGCATGAAATGCATTGCGTGCATGAATCCATGTTTGTTAGTATAAATACTTATCAAATGAGATTTGGCAACATCTATTTGTCACAAATCTCAATATGTCAAAAATAGTTCTATAGTGCCTGGAAATTCTGCGTAATGATAGATATTTATCCTATACCGTTTTGTTTTACAACAAAGACTTATTTAAAAGATTCATTTATAATAGAATGGTTGCATTATAATTCGCCATGTTTAAGGCAGAATTTTTGTATGGCCATTATATGAAGCAAAATTAAAAACATCAAAATAAATTGTAAAATGTTATTTTTGAGAACTATTTTGTGATAAGGTTCCCACATACAGTAATAAACTGTTTAATTAAATTAAAAACAAGAATTTTTGAAAATTTTATTTTATTTTATTGTTTAAATTTATACGTAAACCTTAATCGAAATTAAAGCGCTTTAATTTTTTGCCAAATACATACCTATAATCTACCAGTAAAATTATCGGCGCAACAAAAATTGTCCCTACTTTTCAAACCCTATAAATGATTTTTTATATTACATATTTGTTGTACCTTCTGGCTCTACCCGCCATTTTCACCGTCGAGTAAACTCTCCTTTTTAACAATCCACATCCTCTTGATTCATTTTACGACACGCTTAAAATATAATTTGCTCCTAATATTCTTCGGTAAAAAATAAAATACTTTTTTACCTCGCTAAATGATCAAATGTTTTTATTGTTCTGTTTCTTAGATGTGACCACGTAATACACAATAAAACTAGTTTTATCACAGTTATATAACGCTGTGTAAAATACTTGCATAAGAGTTGTATACCCTTTTTATAGAACTTCTATACTACTAAACGGTTGTATAAAACTGGGCCTTTCTTGGTTGTAAAGCTATCATATTACGGTCTTATAGCACGTTGTATGAATTGAGGTACCCTATAAAAATGATCACATAGCTGTTTATACAGCCTTTATAAAACAAAATTTGCTACTTGGGCGGGGCACTGCCCCGCCTAGCCCCTAGGTAGCTGCGCCACTGGTAGCGTGATTAAGCTTGACCGGCACAGCGTTGCCTACTTTTACATATTTTCTTTTAATCAAAATATTTTAGGAAAGCAAAATAAATGAATTGTAAATATATAAACAGTTATTATTTACATCAACAAATCTCAACTTCTCAACAGCATTTAAGAAACATAGAGGGCCATATTACTACCGCTTTCCCGTTCAAAATATTCTAATAAAGTTACGATGAGTTTTTTAACGGCTATTAAGCTATTTTGTTACACTTCGTACTAAAAGAGGTTCTAAAAAGAACAATGTTCGATGTTTTATCAGTCTACCTATTTTGGAAATAAAAAAAACCATAAGGTCCACTGTGCAATTCTTGATTTTTAAATCTATCCCTTTGTTGGGGTTACTAAAACATCCTGTATATGTAAGATATACACGTTTTTGCAGTGAGAAGCATAATTAATGTATTGGTGCAGGTACTCAGTCATTATTTTAATTTGTTGGCATGTCGGTTTTGTTGTTTCTTACTAAAATATTACCTTTTATCCGTAAGGGTGGTAATTTCCCATGAAAGTTAGCTAGCGAATTTACATATTAAATTATTATAGACTTACATCTACTTAGAATACTTGAATTACGATTACTTTTTAGTTCATTTTTGATTACGATAAGGGTACATCATCGTTTATACACTAAACACCTTAAAAATTTGATGTATCTTAAATTTCATCATATTTTATTCTAGTATAGTGTGACCAACGGATCTGTAGCTACGGGGTATCGGCAGGGGAATGCAGTTGTAAACAAAACACGCCCAATTTCATTCATAAAATAGGCATGGGCGTACGGTGTTATATGAAAATAATGTGTATCATAAATATAATACTCAGATTAATATTTTTTTTCAAAAAACTTTATGCTGTTTGAATCGTTACTGTTGAGTTAGCAGATAAACACTAAAAGCTTTTATTTATAAGCTCCCTTAAATATTTTGAATCATTTTATTATTGTGTTGTTAATATAATAGAAGAAATAATTACAGCTGGGGGTTGGAACCTTTGGTGTTACACAGCAAAATAAAACACTAAATCAGTACAATACACTAAAACACTTTTAAATTTACACTGGACGCATGTTTCGCTAACCATGTCTGCCATCAGCAGATGATCAAGACTGAGTCTTGAGGTATATTTATTTATATATCTGTACTAACTATATTTTTTTCTATAATACATAATTTTAGATATAACTATTTCCAGCAAAAAAATCTTGAAAATAATTAACTTTGGAAGCGCAAACAAAACATAATTTTACTTACCAGTAGATCCAATATTGCCTATTACACCAGATATGGTATCGCTCCGCCAGCAGTTTTTAAAGGTTAGGTCATTGTCTACCCATATGTTTCATCCAAATAGATAATACTTGGCTATATTTTCGAATTTCGCGTATATATTTATATCTCTCTCTGCAATATAATGGGCCGCTCCATTAATATTTATCTGTTATTTTGACATTTACGCCAAAAAAATTCATTTGATTTTAATAACCCTTAAGCGTTTCCCTGCAAAAGGAAAATTCGATTTTTTCTGCAATTTTTGCAAAAGCTTTCTAATTCCTGACCACTTCGAAAAAGTCGTCGAGTTTTCGACAGCAGTCTCACGTGGTCGTTTCTTTCCAGAGCTGGATATCATTTTATCGGGGTTAGTTTTCAGCCTTTTTTTATCTTCTGTGTGAATTTTTTTATAGCCGATACGCTAACTCCGGTATAAAAAAATATCCGCTCAAGTTTACGTTTAAGCGGCAACTAAAGCGAACTCTCTGTAGCTTCTTCATCGCAAACTCTATTATGAACACAAGGAAATAAACCAAATGAGATTTCATCCACGTTATTATTAACATACCTATATAAATTAGCTATTATTTCTCTTGTCTGACTATGTAGCGTCTTACCCTTAACAAATGTATTCATTTTAAAACACAAATATACGATCAAACTTGATATTAATAATTAAAAACTACGAACGAAAAACATTATAACAATATAACAAAATAATAAAACACAACTTAACTATCAAATATACGAAAAATATAGGAATAAAGTTTAGGATAACCGGTATAAAATAATGAAATAAAGTAATAATGATCAAAAAAATTACACCGCCACTGGATATTTCAATAGTATTCAATATTCCTACTCTTTTCAGAAGAGACCGTGAAGTTGGGGATAAAGCAAGCGAATAGGAAAGACGTAAAAGCCATGGCAACCACGTGGTAACAAATCCTGTGACGTACTCTGGCCAATGATGTTCAATGAATAGGCGGCCATGCGCGGCGATGCCGGTTTGCCAATGATATCGTTAAAAAATCTTCAACTTTCATAATAAGCAGATTATACAGAATGAAAGAAATAAGTTATTAAATAAAACATATCGAACAATATGAACTACGTTAAAATTCCTTAATAATATACGTCAGAATATATGCTAAACACATTATATATAATAAAAATATATTAAATTTATAGTTCATGTCTGGCAATTTTGCAATTTTATAGATAAACGTGGCAATATCGATTTTTTTTCTCGCATTCCTTCCGTAGCTTCAGATCCGCTGGTCAAACAGTAGGTTGATTTTGATGATATTTTAGGCAATTTGTAGCTAAAATATTTGATTTTTTGGAGGATGCTTGGGTTGGTATTCGTTGCCCAAAATTGCTGTCTTCTTCAAAAGTGAATATCTCCTTTAAGAATAAAGCTAGTGAGATGAAACATAAAACAAACTATTAAAAAAAGATCTACTTTCATGAAAAAGTGGTTTTTAAACTCCTTACTTTCTTACCTCAAAAAAACAACATTTTGTTTTTCCTTGTATAATTGACAGATGAGGCGGTTAATTTTTTAATATAAAAAGAATCTAAAAAATCAAGTAATTTAGATACAAATTGCTTAAAAAATCATCAAAATAGGTCGACTAGAACAAAAAATATTTACCTTTAAAATACATGAAAAATTTAGTATATATCTTTAACTTTTTTTTCTTTTACTCGGTATTAGTCTAGAATCTTTCTTTTTTCATTTATTGAAATATTAATTTGTTCTTAACAAGAAAAACTTTTATTTCTATATTTTTTTAGTTTTGTCCATGTATGTTACATAATATATTGAGATTTATAAATTATATATCAACCATATATAATTTATAAATCCCCTAATACACATAATACATGCTTCTTTTTTATATATATTAGTTGGGTTATCAAAAAAATTCGAATTTTCTATATCCAAGAAAAAAATGAAGGCAGTTCACACCAGCAACGACCATTTTGTGAAAACCCTAAAATGGCTGATGATTTTTGCCGGGTTTTGGAAAATGCCCCTGTCAAAGAACCCATTTTTGAACAAACTATACATGTTCTACTCGAAAGGCAGTAAAATATACATGTTTTTGTTCATAATTTTGCTCGCCATGGAACTCTTTCGTTTGATCAAGGACCAGGAGAACTCAAAGGTGATCATTACGAGTTTTTGTGTTATGGTGTCCTGTATACTTATAGCTGTAAAGCTATATATCATTATTAAGAGGAATTTGGCTGATTTAATACAGGAAATAATAATAAAAGAAGAAGAAATATGGAAATCTGATGATGAAGAAGTTAAAGATATTTTTACTAGGAAAGCTTATTTTTGTAATGTTTTATGTGCTGGATTGACTATGGTACAGGTTGTTTGTCTTGCATCCATGTCAGCTATGGGTGAGTATTATAAAGCATTAAAGGATAAATTAAAAAAAAAAGTCTTTGACCATAAACAATTTTGATGAATAAATACAAGATCAAGACCACGACTCCCTTGGCCTTGTAGGGTCCAGTCTTGGTCTTGCTGCAATAGCTAGTATAGATACATACACTATTTTTAGCTTTTATTGGTGACCAAGAACTAATAGAATACAACAGAGTCCACAACACAACTCTAGATACCTACTACTGGTACCAATTGTGGTTTCCTGGAGTCAAACTGGATCATCTTGGATGGGTATACACCCTGAATGGTTGCTTTGGTTGGATAGCCTGTTCCAACAGCATGGTTTGCCATTCTTTGTTGGCTACACTGATGATTTTTGCCTCGACAAAAATGGAGATCTTGTGCGCGATATTGAGAAAATGCGTCAAAGGTAAAATAGATGTGGATTTGGATAGGAACATTTTTGAATTGAAACGATGTGTTGTTGAACATCAAGATATTATCGAGTAAGTATCATTTTATGGTAATTTTTAAAGCTAAACTTCACACTTAACTAAGTAATTTATTTTTCTAAACTGTATAGATATCTATTTTTTATTTTTTTTTGTAGATATGTAACAAGATTGAACAAAAGTATTAGTTTGATACTTCTGCTGCATTTTCTTTTAAATTCTGTCGAGATATCTTCTTGTGTCACATCATATCTTAAGGTACTTTGTTATTAGTAATATAATCGCACCCTGTATCATGTTTATACAGGGCGAGTCTTAAATAACTGACAATTACCTTTTTAAGGGTTCAGTTCCCATGCTTCAACAAATATTTTTAGCGTCTTATGTTACATTGACAGTCTATCAAATACTGATGGCCTCATGGAACGCCAATGAAATTCAACACCAGGTTAGCAAAAAAAATAAATATAAATAAAATATATTTTTGAAAAATTCCGATTTTTTTAGAGTACGAAAATCGCTGACGCTTTTTATGAAATCAATTGGCTGCTCTTGAATAAGGATGGTAAAACAATTTGCTTGATATCAGCCCATAGGGCTCAAAAACCTTTATCTACTACTTTGGGCCCTTTTGGGGCTATGACAAATCAGTCAGGGTTATTGGTAAGTTTTTTTTAAGTTTATCTCTGAAAAATATCTTATTAATTTTGGAATTTTGAAACTTTTATATATAATTTCAGTTTGTTTTCTAGGTTATAAAAGCTGCGTATTCTTATGTCAGTGTAATGAACACTGGTACACTTTAAATCATTTATGAAAAGAGAGGAACACTTAACAAAAAGAAATAATAATTGCACAAACTTGAGTCATATTCAACACAAAATAAAAGCACTAAAGCATTTTATTGTTTTTTTTTCAAAAAAAATATCCCTAAATGTAATACGTTATGGTCTTGAAATAAAACTATACTAGTTAGTAGTATTCCGTGTTACCAAATAACAATAAAAGGGAGTTACAACAATTAGAAAATGTGCAGATATATTCGTGCCTACGTGACCAACTAGTATCTAGCTACAGATGACTGTTTTGTGTCTATTGTCAACTAGAGAGCTACTGCACTTAAATGATAGGGACATGTCGCCTCTTATCACACATCTCCCCCATCATAAATCTAGTTTTTGAGGTTTTCTTACAACCCTACCAGATCTTGTTTTAGGAATCAGCTGTTTAGTTATACTAGGACATTTATCAAGTTCAATTTCTAGATCAGCTTCAGGTAATCCTTCCACAAGTTCTGCTGGTTGTTCGACATTCTTTAAATTACTATTACTAGTAGAGCATTCATAAAGAGGTGGAACATTAGGAACAAACTTATTTGTGCTTTCCTTTAAATCGATTCTATTTCTTCTAACAACATTATTTTCACTATCTTTGATTAAATACGATCTTGGAGTGGAGTGCTCACAAATAACTTGACCTGGTTCCCACTTCTTCTTTACATGATTATATACATTAATATCTGCATTAGGACAAATCGGTTTTAAATCTTTAGCCTGTCTATTGTAATATTTCTTATAACAATTTTGCCTTTCTTGTAGTTTTTCATAAACATTTTGACACAATTTTGGTTTTAAAAATTCATTATTACTAGGTAATTTAGTTTTACAATTACGGCTCATAAGTAATTGTGCAGGACTATAATCAATATATTTGAGAGGGGAGTTCCGATACTGTAACAATGCTATATCAAGGCCATCACTTTTGCCTTCGCTTTTTTTAATTATATTTTTCGCAATACCTACTCCTCTTTCAGCAAGACCGTTTGAGCGAGGATAATTAGGACTTCTTGTTACAACTTCAAAATTCCACTCTCTAGCAAATGATTTAAATTCACAACTGTTAAAAGGAACATTATCAGAAATTACACAATCTGGCGAACCATGAGTAGAAAATACTCTTCTTAAAACTAAAATTACAGATTTTGCGGATTTGTCTTTAATAGGTAATACTTCAAGCCAATTAGAGAATGAATCAAATGCTATTAGAAAACTCTGATTATTAAAAGTAAAAATATCTAAGCCAATTCTTTCCCACGGTCGACTTGAAATAGGATACAGCATTAATGTTTCTTTCTGATGTCGTTTAGCATAAGTTTCACAAATTCTACAATCTTTTATAAATGATTCAATATCATAAGTCATTCTAGGCCAATAAAATATTTGACGTGCTCGCGATTTTGTTTTTTCGATACCAAAATGACCTTCATGTAATAATTTTAGCATTTCTTTACGAAGTTCTTGAGGAACAACTATTTTGTTGTCTAAAAATAATAAACTATCTGAAACAAAAAGTTTGTCTCTTAAATGAAAATACTTCCAAATATTTAGAGGAACTTTCTTTTTCTGTTCTGGCCATGTATTTTCACAATATTTGATTACTAACTGTAGGTCTTTATCATTACTTAAAGCATTTTTAAACTGACATTTCCTAGTTTCAGACATAGGAAGATACTTATTAATACAGTGTATAACATAATCAAATTCTCTGTCTGATTTTAATCCTGTATCAAGAAGAAAAGCACGTGATAGGGTATCTGCGATAAACAAATATTTACCTGGCTTATATGACACACTTAATTTATAATTTAATAAACGTAAACGCATTCTTTGTAATCTTGGTGTTATTGATGCCAAATCTTTACAAAAAATTGCTTCTAGAGGCTTATGATCAGTGTTGACTTTTACGTCCAAACCATAAACAAAAAAATGAAATTTCTGTATACTAAAAACAATTGCCAACATTTCTTTTTCAATCTGGGCATATTTTTTCTCAGCTGAACTCAAGCTTCTAGACGCAAATGCAATAGGGTGTCCATCTTGGAGTAAACAGGCTCCTAACCCATCTTTAGATGCATCAGTCTCAATTTCTACATTTTTACTTGGATCAAAGAATGACAATATTGGAGCTGATGTTAAAAGGTGTTTTAACTCATTTAATGATTTCTCATGAATATCTAGCCAGTTAAACTCATTTTCAATTTTAGTTAAATCTCTTAAGGAGGAAGTAATTTTAGACATATTAGGCACAAACTTGCCTAAAAACTTGGCCATTCCTAAAATTCTTAATAAGTCTGATTTACTTTCTGGCCTTGGCAATTTTAATATAGCTTCTACATAATTTTGATTTAATTTTATGCCATCTTTAGAATAAATTTGACCCATAAATTTAACCGATTTACACTTAAACTGTATTTTATTTCTATTAAATTTAATACCATAACTGAGAGCTCTTTCCAATACCAAGTGCAAATTTTTATCATGCTCTTTCTCATTTTTTCCTGTGACAATTATATCATCAAAATATAATCCAATACCATCAATGTCACCAAATATTTCATAATTTTTCTTTTGAAACACTTCTGGTGCGGAGCACAATCCAAAAGGTAAACGACAATATTTGTACCTACCAAATGGAGTAGCAAAAGTGCAATAATCTGAACTTTCTTCATCTATCTTTACTTGTAGATATCCATCTTTCATATCTAACACAGTAAAAAACTCTCTGTTACATAAGGTAGCAGCGATTTCATCTGCAGTTGGGATTGAAAAATACTCTCTTTGAATTGCTTTATTTAAATACTTAGGATCTAAACAAAGACGCAAATCACCATTTGTTTTTTCCACAATCACAAGTGCATTCACCCACTCAGTAGGCTTATCAACTTTACAAATGACACCTTGTTTCTCAAGCTCATTTAACTTACTTTTTAGTCTATCTCGTAAAATATGAGGAATCCTTCTGAGCGGTTGCACATGCGGTACAAAATCTTTCTTTAATGTAATATGATGTTCTGTTGGATATTTACCCAACCCATTAAAAACACTAGGATATTTATTTACTATATCATCAAGAGATCTAAAATATACATTATCAAGAGATTTACAATTAACATTTATACTAGCTACTTTCTTTATTAATTTTAAATCTACACAAGCCTGAAGTCCAAGTAAAGGTAATTGATCAAGTGTATCTACTACAATAAATAAAACTTGAGCCACATTCTCACCAACTTTACAGTCTAATAAAATTTCACCTTGTGGTTTAATTCTGAACTTATTATCACCATATGATACAAGGGTAACTCCAGTTTTATTTATTTTATCTTTCAGTTTCAATTTTTCAATCAAGTTAAGTGATAATACACTCACTTCAGCACCTGTATCTAACTTGAACTCGACTAACTGATTATTAACACATACCTCCTGCTTCCAACATAAGTTTGCTTTTACGGACCCGATTGACTGTATACCATCAACAAAATACTCATCACTTGTGTCATCATCTTCAGTATTCACCTTGCAACTACATGCTTCAACTTCATGAACTTTTTTCTCCTTGGTTTTGTTGTTTCTTTCTGGTCTGACTTCTTTTTTCCTACACACAGCAGCAAAATGATTCCGACCTTGGCATTTTGCACATGTTTTCCCATATGCAGGACATTTACCAGACTTGCCATGTTTGTACCCACAAAAGTTACATGGTTTCTTATTGTTTTCTTGATCACTATTTTTCTGTACAGCATCCACTTGACTTTCATTTCTTAATATTTTTGACTGCGATTTACTTGACTCGGTTGCTCTGCAAACATCTACTGCTTTTTCTAAAGTAAGTTTTGGTTCTCGTAACAATCTCTCTTGTATTACTTTGTCCAGTATTCCCATTACAATTCTGTCCCTTATCATGTCATCATGATCCTTGTATTGTGTTGTCTTAATAGCTTTTCTTAATTCTGTTAAGAAATTATCAAAATTCTGACCTTCTTTTTGGCATATACTGTTGAATTTGTACCTCTCAAACGTGATATTTGTTTTTGGTGAACAGTATTCATGAAACTTCTCTCTGATTTTATCTAACTTTTCTCGTCTCCATTTTCAAAACTGAAACTATTAAATAATTCTAGTCCTTCGTCACCTATCAGGTTTAAAAAAGACTGCCACTTTCTTATCTTCAGATTTCGACTCTAGATCTGTCGTTGTTGAAAATATATCAAATTTTTGGCTGAATCTCTTCCAGTTCTCTGCAACATTTCCATCTAAGACTAGAAGGGGTTCTGGGGTTTGAACAAGTTTTCCATTTTTTTTACAATTTTCTTCTTAATTGTTTTTCTAGCGGAATTTTACCCGTACCAGCCTGACACCATGTAATACGTTATGGTCTTGAAATAAAACTATACTAGTTAGTAGTATTCCGTGTTACCAAATAACAATAAAAGGGAGTTACAACAATTAGAAAATGTGCAGATATATTCGTGCCTACGTGACCAACTAGTATCTAGCTACAGATGACTGTTTTGTGTCTATTGTCAACTAGAGAGCTACTGCACTTAAATGATAGGGACATGTCGCCTCTTATCACACACTAAATACATCTAAATCTATGTTTAGTATCTATTTCAATAACTAAAATAAATAAAATATCATGCAATGATCTTTAAGTTCGTAGAAATACAATGTTAACGACCCTCGTATTAGCCTAAGAGCTGACGACATATTTAGAGAACATATTTTAGGCAAGCTAGAATAACTAAAAATGTATAGTTTATTAACTGGTGAACCCAGAATCCTAAGTCTGGCTGGGGGGTTGGGGGTATTTCGCTACTGCGCAACCCATAACATTTGCAAAAAAATAAATCCAAAAAACATTCTTTAGGCAACTTGAAATTTGTTTTTTTCTTAAATTTTAGCATCTATTTAACCTAGAAATAAGTGTGCCAGACTTTTTTTTCGGGTTTAAAGTATAACCAGACCATTCCAAATATGTTTAATTATTATACCTGGAAAATATACTTTAGGCATTCTAAATTTTTTACAGCGTGTTTATTAGATGTTATT